AGATTCAAAATTAGGCTTGAACAAATAGAATGATATTCCTGAATAAGAAGCTTCAACATCATTCAGATATCAGTCTTCCCTAATTTGACCATTTAATGATATTCAAATAAAAATACTAACTTTTTTTTTTCTGGAGACAGATAAGATGATACCAAAATTCATACAGAAAAATAAACATGCAAGACTAGCCAGGAAAACACTGACAAGGAAAAGATATCGTGGGTGAGGGGAGGGGGAAGGGTAGGCGACTAGCCAGGCCAGAAAGATACTAACGCCTATAACACAGATTCTTTCATTAAATCTGTGAGCTGGCGTATGAGTAGGAAGACCAGTAAAATAGGTTAGAAGTTCTGAACATAGACTTCCGTACAAATGGAAATTTAACATTTGATCAAGAAGGACTTTTAAGTAAATGACATGGGGACAAATGCATAGTAATGAGGGGGAGGGATCATACTAGACCCATCCCTCAGACTACAAACAAAAATAAACTAAGAAGCAGAGATCTAAGTAGGAAAAAAGAAAAAAAGAAACACTACAAGTACTAGAGAAAACACTGGCAAATTCCTCTATAATTTAGGTGTAGAAAAAGGTTTTCTAACCATGACTCAAAGTCCAGATGAAATTAAAGAAAGAACTGACAAACTTGACTACATAAAAATCTGTTTACTTGCATGGTCAAAAATTGATATGCAAAATCAACAGAAATGAAAACTTGAGAGAAAGAGTTGCAATATATGTCACTGATAAAACACAGCTATCCCTAATATATGATACTTAAACCTATGAAAATACGTGCAGCTTCACTTGAATCAAAAAATGAAAATTAAAACTATACTGAGATACCACTTCCTGTCTATCGGATGGACAAAACCCGAAAGCTTCACAACACACTTCTGTTGGTCATGCGGGAACAGGCGTGCTCACACATTGCTAGTGGAAATGCAAAAATTCCTCTAAGGAAGGGAATCTGGCAATATATAATGTATTCATTTCCTAAGACTGATGAAACAAATTACCACAATGTAGGTGGTCTTAAACACAGAAATAGCCCCAGCGGGTGTGGCTCAGTGGATTGAGTGCCGGCCTGAGGACCAAAGGGTTGCTGGTTGGATTCCCAGTCAGGGCACATGCCTGGGTTGTGGACCAGGTCCCCAGTAGGGGGCGCGCAAGAGGCAAACACATTAATGTTTCCCTCTCTTTCTCTCTCCCTTCCCCTCTCTAAAAATAAACTAAGTAATAATTTTTTAAAAACACATAACCCTGGCTGGCGTAGCTCAGTGGATTGAGCACGGGCTGTGAATCAAAGTGCCGCAGGTTCAATTCCCAGTCAGGGCACATGCCTGGGTTGCAGGCCACGGCCCCCAGCAACCGCACATTGATGTGTGTGTCTCTCTCTCTTTCTCCCCTCCTTCCCTCTCTAAAAAATAAATAAATAAAATATTTTTAAAAAACATATAAATAAATTCATCCAGTTTTGGAAGGCAAAAGTCAGAGCCCAAGGCATCTGCAGGGTTTGTTCCTTCTGGAGGCCCTGAGAATCCATCCTGGGACTCTCTACCGGTTCGGGGTGGGGGTGCAGGGGCTACCCATAGTCCTTGGGGTTGCTTGGCTTGTAAATACGTGCTCCACTCTCTGCCCCTGTCTTCACGTGGCCGTGTCATCCTCTGCCTCCGTGTCTCAAATCTCCTTCTGCCTTTCCTCCGTAAGAACACCCGTCATTGGAGTTAGGACTCACCCCAAACCTTATCTTTGGGTCCTTAATCACATCTGCAAGGACCCCCTCTCTAAACACGGTCACAGTCACAGGTTAGGACTTGGACATATGTTTTGGCGGACCACTCTCCAACCAAATACATATAACAAAATGACAGGGATATTACGTTTTGATTCAGAAATCCCACTTTTAGGAATTTAGTCTGAAGACACACCTCCAACATAATTAAAATAAGAATCTGCTCCGTGTTCTTGAACAAGTTAACTGACCTCTCTCTCTGAGCACCTGTTTCTTAACACCCTCCGAGGAAAACGCGTCATTTCTCTCCTATTCAAAGGTCCTTTGGACTCTGCCCGAGAAAAACCCCATCTCGAGGAAAGCTTTGCTATTTAGCCTACCGGGCTAGGCGGACTGGGGGCGCTAACTCCTCCTTACCTGAACGTTAGCGCCCTCTGGCGGGCCACTGTCCCAAGTACGGCTCCTGGGGCACCCTGAGAACTAAGGACTTGCCTGGGCCATCAGCTTCGCAAGGCTGGGGACCGAACGGACCTGCCATCTTGACAGGTGTCACTGGAGCGGAGCTAGGCCAACAACTGAGCACTTGCCCCCAGGCATGCGTGCGTGCGTGCGCGCGTACATGCGGCTGTGCGCGCGCGCACATGTATGCGCATGCGTGTATGCACGTGTGTTGCGAGGTCTTGAGAAGTCTGTTCTCTCCCCGCCCAAGTTTCTCTCGCTGTGATCCACGCAAACTCAGTGCGGCTGTCGCGCTTTTTTCTGAAGCTAGTCATGCCAGTAGCCGGGTGTAGTCGTTTTTCAGACATCAGCCCTGCGGGTTCCAGGACAAATTTGCTTTAGAAGCCCCTCGATCGCTCCCTTTGGGGCGGTGGCTTTCGCCTGCCTGCGAGGAGTTCCGGGAAGGACGGTATCATCTCCTCTGAGTTTACTCCGGTGACCAGAGGCCTTCCCATCAGATCTTGCCCGATCTCTCTGCACAAATACGTGTGATAAGCACACACGCAGAGCAAACTGCAAGTCAGTTGGCCGGGTTCTGTTCTGGCCAACACTGGCAGGAAAGGCCTTAGTGGGCCTGGGCCTGCATTGCCTCCTCCGTAACGCCCAAATCCGGGGTCTGGGCTTACCCCTGAGGTTCAGTCTGGCTCTAAAATTATACAACGAATACCATGCATTAGCACTTCCGACCAGGTATCACACTGTACAGGCGTGACCTCAGGTAACCCTCATGGCAGTTCCCATAGGTCGACCTTGGGAGCCGCGTTCCACAGAGCAGGAAGTGGAGGCAAAGGGAGGTCAAGGAGCTTGTTCGGGGTCACACGGCTGGAGAAAGAGTTTAAGCTACAGTGGTAGGGACTGCATCTGACCTGCTGGGAGCAGGGCGGGACTAATCATTGAAGGTGGAGAGCTTCTGAGCCCCACTTATGCCTCCCCCACTTCCGTTCTCAGAAACAATGTTGCCCATCTCCTTCCTGCTCCCCTGGTGCTGCTGAGATTTTCATCAGCCAGACGCCCACTTCTGGCTGCTTTAGGGAGGGGACTGGAAGCAAGCTCATGCAGATTAGCTTACATGCCCCAGGCCTGGCAGCTAGGGATTGGAGGATTTGGGGTTCTAGTCCAGGGGTGTCTGACAGGACCCTCATGCTCCTTGCCTGTGCATTCTGCTGCCTTCCGTGTACAGCTCCGTTTCCGAATGGCAGCGGTTTTAGAAGCCATCCAGAAGGTCAAATGCACCATGATTACTTTGATGTCACTTCTGAAGCTCTAGTGACTGCTGTCATGCTCCACAGCACTCACCCCGCTGCTCCCTCTCAGGCACTCGATGAAGCTCAATGCTCCCAAGCCTGCAGGAAGCAGCCCACCTCACCCGGCGGCAGTGCTGTCCATCGGCTGTAGGGGTCACGGCAGGCAGGCCAGCTCCGGCTCCTGTGCCGTCTGAGCAGAGAACCCCGGGCCCAGCCTGCTGTCTGCACTGCGACCCCATAAGGCAGGGCTTCCCAACAGAGCGGACACTGCCCCAAAGGCACACTCTGAAACTTGTCGGGGGCACTTCCGATTTTCACAAACGTTTGGGGAGCGTTCCTTTTGTTTAGTGAGAAAGGGGCGGGGGTGCCAGATGTAGCGGAACGCTCAGGAGTGTCCACCAAAATGAAGTGACATCACTCAGATGTCCCACATTAAGCCCACGGGGGTGAAAAACCCATTCATTCATAAGTGATCAGTGCCTAGACCCTTCCAGTCCCACGCGTGTTTTATTCCATAGAAAAACACTATTTTCCACCAAGGGTTTAATTTCCACCGAATTTTCAGTGAAGACAATGACCATGTAAATGGGAGGAAGAGTTGTTTTGGGGGAGGGGGTCTCACTGAACACGATGCACCGTTACAGAAAACCACATGGCCAGTGGCCACTCTGATGGTAGGATGGGACAGTGGTGTGCAGCGCCCAGACTCTCGGGGCGGCCCCACCTCTGACAGCGTCACCCCGACTGCTAGTGGATTTGTGCCAGAGCCCTTACATATTAAAAGAAACATTATTTTCTTATACTTTACTTTCATTTCCCCTCCACATTGTAGTTAAAGCAGTATTTTGCTTTTACAACATTCTTTTTAAAGATTTTATTTATTTATTTTTAGAGAGGGAAGGGAGAGAGAGAAAGAGAGAGAAAGAGAGAGACAGGGAGAAGCATCAATGTGCGGTTGCTGGGGGTCATGGCCTGCAACCCAGGCATGTGCCCTGACTGGGAATCGAACCTGTGACACTTTGGTTTGCAGACCGCGCTCAATCCACTGAGCTATGCCAGCCAGGGCTTCATTTTTTGTGGATACCTTATATTCACCATAAATTTCACTTCAGAGTAACAAAGGGCACACGAACTATTTATATTACAGTAAGGAGAGTCTTAATAGGTCTGAGAATTTTTGTCTTGAAGGGTCTCCATCAGCCTCGACTTCGGATACTTGAGATTTCCAGGCTCATGACTTGGGTGCAGAAGTTAGTTGACCTTGACATGGCTTTTTGTATTGCCCGTAGCCTTTTACCTGCCTGCCTCTCTCACTTGACTGAAAGCTCCTCGGGGTGGCGGTAGCAGGTCTTCATCATCTCGGCCCCGCCCCCCACACGGTGCCACCCCCGGGGTTGGGGACTCAGGAGGCCTCCCTTCGCAGGAACTGTTCAGCGCCTGGAACAACTCTGTTCCAGCAGGAGCTGGATCTCACGAGGGCAATCCCTGGAGTCGAGAAACAGAAGCTCTTGTGGAGGAACCTCCACATTCGGGGATAGAGGGGCCACTGATGAGTTTGGGAAGCCTCTCCCCCTGTCCCTGGTTTTCCAGAAACGCCCCCATCTCCGAGCAGGATGTTAATCAGTAATGGTCCCACGGGCAGCCGCGTACTTTGGAAGGGTAAATATTTGCTGCAGGCTTCCAGCAACAAACCCCAGCCTGCTGTCTTTGCCCTGAATGAAGGACCTTCCCAGGCACCGGGGGCCACTCACTGGTAAGAGACCCCAGGCTGAAGGGGGACCTTCACAGGCTAACCAGCAGGGGATGGGAAGTGACCTCTTCGTTCTTTCTGGGTGGGCTCCGAGGTGGGGAGGGGGCTGGGAGCCTGGGCAGCACCGAGCCCTCACTGGGCAGGGCAGCGGGGGGCTGAGAGGTGGGCTGTAGACACGGGGCTTCCCCTGCAGGAAGGAGGAAAGATGATGAGGCTTTTAAGCGTTGAGAGTCTGTGCCCACAGCACTCAGTGTCCTGGCTTTCGTCCTGCCCAGGCGGGTGAACCCCCCACTTCCCGGGCTGGGTGGGGGTGCTGCTGCAAGCGCATCCAGGGCTGAGAAGCGGCGAGGGAGCTGTTGATTTCTTACCACTCAGGTTCTATTGGGGATGGCACCTCCTCGGTGTGCTTAATGGTACCCTGGTGCTTGAGGGGCGCCCCGCGTACGGATTCTGTCCCGTTCAGTAGACGGACAGCGAGCTTAGGGGGCACGTGGGCCTGTCCAGGGAGCAGCGTGCGGGGCGCCCGTGAATTCCTGGGTGGCCCCTCCACACCGAGGAGGAGCTGCACGGGGAGACTCAGCCACCGGAACGGGTGCTGGGACTGTTCCCTGACCGCTGTCAGGGAGGAGCGACCGGCGTTCAGGAGCACATTACCCACGTTACCGTGGGATTAATCCATCGACCTACAAAGTAGTGCCAGATACCGTGCACAGGCGTACCCTGGGGACGCTGTGGGAATGAGGTTCCGGAGGGCAGTGCAGTGAGTCACATGGATTTCTGGGTCTCCCAGTGTATCTACAGAAGTTATGTCTGGCTCCGGCTGGTGTGGCTCCGTGGGTTGGGCGTTGTCCCACAAAGCGAAAGGTTGCTGGTTTGACTCCCGGTCAGGGCATGTGCCTGGGCTGGAGGCTGGGTCCCCAGTTGGGGGCACGTGTGAGAGGCAACCGATCGATGTTTCTCTCACACATCCAGGTTTCCCTCTCTCTCTCTCCGCCCCCTCTCTCAAAAGCAGAAAACAAATTTTAAAGTTATGTTTTCTACCATACGGTAGTCTAGTAAGTGTGCCATGCTGTTATGTCTGAAAATAATATACACACCTTAACTCTGAAATACTTTACTGCTGAAAACTGCTCACCGACACGGAGCCTGCAGCAAGGCGCGGTCTCTTTGCCCGCGGAGGGCCCCGCCGCGGGGCCGGCGAGACCGCAGGGTCCCCGCAGCACAGTGCAGGCACGAGCCAGGGGCCCGTTTGGGTGTTGCAGGAGGTGCTCACCCAGCATCTGCCAGACTGGAGTGAGCCACCGAACTTGGGCTTGACAGTTGGAATCACACTGTTTAGAATCCCCTCAACACTGACATTGGAGAAACCCAACAGAAGTGCTCCCCTGAGAAAGGAGGGGACTTCGGGCTGCGCTCTGCTGTGTGTTCAGCATACACAGGAGCGGGGTACCGAGTCCTGGGGCCCCGTGTCATTTCGTACCAGGCACAGAGACGAGGACACGGCCCCTGCCTCCGGCACAGGAGGCCTGGGAACCTCACCTTGTCACCGTACACGGCCGCAGGTGGCCTGGTTCAGAGTGAGGGTCTCTACTGACAGGAGCTCCTGTGAGGCCTGCAGCCTGCCCTGCCTGCTGCCCGCTGGGCTGACTGGTCCCGCCCAGCCGGGCGCTCCTGGGGCAGTGGGCCCGGGAGAGAGTGAGGGTGCATCTGTCTCCGTGACCTGCCCAGCCAGCCTCTGGGGTGCAGACCTTTGCTGCCCCCCCTCCCCCCACACACCAGGAACAGAGCAGGGAAACTGTCAGGTGGCCCAGCTCAGCCCTCCGGGGGTCATTGGGATGGACAGCATGCAGGTGCTCCGGAGCCAGGCTCTGTGCGGAGGCCTCGAGGGAGCCAGAGAGGTAGGTGGTCAGGGCTTGGACGGCTCGTGGTGCGGGGCGTGGGGATTGGAGACGCCCTGCCCGGGCCAGAAGTCCGGCTCCACCGGGCCACTGTCACCGTGAGGATTCGATGAGAGGGGCCCAGGCCTCCCGAGGAGCAAGCTGGCTCGTCACTCTGTCCTGGGGCCGCAGGTTCAGTGAAGGCAGGAAGACCCGCAGGGGGCTGTGTGGTGGGCCCGGGGCTGCAGGAGAGGTGCAGGGGGCAGAGCTCTGATCCTGGAGGCAGGAGAACGCAGCACTTCCCCCCTTCCTGGCTCTGATCACTCCCTGCGTCCTCCAAATCCCCAGCCAAACCGGCCGCAGACCCAGGTCCCGGAAGCCCAGCTTGATGGGCTGCTGTCCGGCCGGCAATCAAGGGCAATGCATGACACTGGCCAGGGAAAGGTCCGTGGACCTCCTGCCCCCAGCCCTGCTCCGCCCCACGTCCAGTGGGGCCGGCACCCAGACCACGGCCACTTTAATCCACCCCTTCTGGGAGGCCCGAGGATGAGTGGGGAACTTGGGGGGGGGGGGCAGGGGCTGCCCCCGGGGCTGGCCGGGGAGGGGACCTGGGGGAGGTCTCGCTCTGTAAGAGTCCCCTCCTCCTCAGGTAAACCACTGTCACCCCTCCTCGCTCTGGGTCCACCCCACCCCCAAAGGCAGGAGGCGAGGTCCCTGGGCGGTCTGTACCACCACACAGGGAGGAGTGACTGCACGGGCACTAAAAAACGACCCCGCCCTGTCTTCTCCCGAGGAAGTCTCGCCGCTGAAGAGAAGCGCTCGCTCCTCGGGCCTCCACGGCTGACCAGATGACGGCGGCGGCGCTGCGGCTCCTGCTCCCCTGCCTCCTGGCCAAGGCGTGGCTGGTATGCGGCTTGGCCCCCAGCTCCCGGCCACCGGGGGCCCAGGCAGGGCCGGAGACTCTGCAGCCCCCCGCCAACCGGCATGAGGCCCTCCAGGGAGTGCAGGCCCCTGAAGAGGAGCAGGAGAAGGAGCCCTGGCTGACGGCCAGCGAGCGCCAGCTCTGCGAGGACACCTTCAACCTGGGGTTCAGCCTGCTGCGCAAGATCTCCATGAGGCACGAAGGCAACGTGGTCTTCTCGCCGCTCAGCCTGTCCTCGGCCATGGCGGCCCTGACGCTGGGGGCCAGAGGGCAGACCAAAGCCCAGCTGGAGGGCAGGCTCCTGCAGACCCGGAACGGGACCAGGCCCGGGCACCTGCCCACCCTCCTCCGGCGGTTCAGGGAGCGCCTCTCCCACAACCGGGAGCTGGGCCTCGTGCAGGGGAGCTTGGCCTTCATCCACGAGGATTTCGATATCAAAGAGACCTTCCTCAACCTATCCAAGAGGTATTTCGATACGGAGTGTGTGACGATGAACTTTCGCAATGCCTCGCAGGCCCAAGGGCTCATGGACCATTACATCAACAAGGAGACGGAGGGGAAGATCCCCAAACTCTTGGTTGAGATTAACCCCGACACCAAGTTAATCCTCGTGGATTACATCTTCCTCAAAGGTATTTCGATAACGTTCTGCTCTCCCAGGGCCACGGTCTCTCCGTCTGTCTCTCCCTTCCCTGTCTGGCCAGCACGTGCTCGATGCCAAGCCATTTTCTAGGACTAGTTTTCAGGATTCAGAAGCAGATTGGAATGGGCGTTGACAAGGTGCACGGCGTACCCGGCAGAGTGCGGGACACGGTCATTCGGTGCCCGTGCCCTGGTGACCCACGTGGTTCGAGTCCTTAGTTTCCCAAGCGCCTCTGCACAGCCCCCCTCGCCTCTGCTATTCTGACCCGGGGAACCCTATGGGTCGTTGAGAGACGGCAGATGATGGAGAGATTTAAAATTACATCTTTGCTCCTTCACGCTCTCCTTTGGTGACCTGGGGCCAGTGACAAAGCCTCTCGTCCTTGATTCTTGATATAAAAAAAAATGGGGCCATTCCTACCTCCCGTACAGATGGCAGTGAGGCTCGGAGCGGTTCGCTCGATCAAGGTCACGTGATAAACGGCAGAGGCAACCGGGGGTCCTGACACTCTCACGCCAGACCCTCTCCGCCTGCCCCTCTAACAGGGCGGTGGGCTTGTGTGGCCAGCGCTGCGGCAGGAAGCTGACACTGGGGCCCCTCGCAAAGCCCAGGGAGGAGAACAGGGGGGTCCAGATGGCCAGGCCGCACCCTGGGACGGGGGCCTGAGTAGGGCCATGCTGCCACAGGCAGGTGGCCTCCCCGGATGGTGTGACCGTTTGCCAGCAAGGGATCCCTTCCCTCAGGACCGCCCTAAGCAGTGGTGGGTGGGGAACGTCCTGTCTTCTGCCCCAGTGGCTCTGCTTGTCCAGCAGCAACTAGACAGAGGTGGTCAGAGGGCTCCTCACGAAGACACAGGGCGAGGAGAGGCCCGGTCTCCTCCAGGCTGGGGCTGAGCACAACCAGCAGATTACGGGGAGACACCCCGGCCCCCGCTGCTGTGCGAAATTCCAGGAGGGCCTGCGGGTGGGTCCGTGTCCTGCCCGCTGGGAACGGGGCCGGGAGAGGCTGGCCTTTGGGGAGTTCATTTTGCCGGCCTGAGCTGTGGTCCAAACCAGCCTCGCCGGGGGGCTGCCTGGCCGGGCGCGGGAAGGGGGCCGACGGCGTTGGCAAGAGCGACGTTGTGCAGGAGGGCGGTTCCCACGGCGCGCTCTCTTCTTCCCGCTCAGGGAGGTGGCTGACCCCGTTCGACCCCGTGTTCACCGAGGCCGGCACTTTCCGCCTGAGCAAGTACCAGGCGGTCACGGTGCCCATGATGTTCAGGGCGGGCAGCTTCGCCTCCACCTTCGATAGGAACCTGCGCTGCCACGTGCTCAAACTGCCCTACCGAGGGAACGCCACCATGCTGGTGGTCCTCATGGAGAAGATGGGGGACCACCTGGCCCTGGAAGACTACCTGACCTCAGACCTGGTGGACTCGTGGCTGAGGAACATGAAGACCAGGTAGGCAAGTCGCCAGGCCTGTCCCAGCTTCGCCCTCCCACCTTCACCAGCACTCACCACCCCACCATCCGGCGGGGGAGCATGGTGGGGGCGGGGGGGGGGACTCCCTGAGAGCTAGGGCTGCATTTGTCCTGTTTTCCACTGTCCCGGGTTCTCCTGCCCCAGGCGCTGTGGCACGAGGCCCGTGAAGTCAACCTTCCAGTGAAGGGAGACAGTCGAAGCTCAGGGCCGGGGGGCGGGGGGTGGGGGTGGGGGTGGCGCCAGCAGGGGCCAGGGAGACACCAGGCGAGGTGGGGAGGAAGCAAACCCCGGAAGGGCAGCAGGACCCTGTGTGCATCCTTGGGAACGGAAGTGTCTCGGGGAGAAGGGGGACCGCTCTGGGACGGGAGAGGGAGAGTGCCTGGTGGGTGGGTGGGAGGAGCAGCAGGGCAGCCTGGAAGGAGATGAGGTCAGAGAACCAGGCGCCCAGGCACCCAGGACTGTAGGTTACAGGCCCCAGAGACGGGTCGGCTTTTCCTGAGAAAGATGGGGAGCCATCGGGTGGGGGTTGGGGGGGCCCTACTCCGAGCAGAGGAGCAACATGGTCTGATGTGTGTTTCAAGGGGCCACGCGGCCCCTGCGCTGGATACAGACGCTGTGGTGGGGGGCAGGGGGCGGCAAGGAGGGCAGTCAGGGGGTCACAGCAATTCTGGGTGACCATCCAGATCGGGGTGCCGCCCCTCGGGCTGTGGGGTGACAGTGCAGGGATGAGCAGTGAGGCGACGAGAGTTGCTGAGGGGCGGGATGTGGGCGAGAGAGAGGGGTAGAACGGGGAGGGGGGGGGAGACAGGGAGCCCGAGGACATGCCATTCAGCTCCCACTACGCAGCAGGCGTTGTGGTTGGGGATGCTTCCATTCCATCCCGTCCTCCGAAGGACGCTGGGAACTGGGACTGGCTGGAGTTTTTGGCAACGCTCCACGGATTAAGAAACTGGGGCTTTTTTCTAGACGACTGCAGTGTCCGTTACTACTGTGCATGCTTTTTATTTTTGACCCGGAAGATTCGTCTTTCCAAACCAAGTCATTTCAAAAGAGAACTCCAATGGATATAAGTAGATGCTACCAGCATTTCTCTGGCTACAGAGAGGCAAGGAGCTGCCGGTTCCCTGCAAAGCCCTCTCGCTGGCCACCCCCAGCCCCCGAGGTTCTCCTGGGACCCTGGGGGTCTGCACCATCCGGACCCTGAACACAGCAGCCATCATCCTGGGGTTCCCTGGATTGCTGGACGGCACTATTCGGTTTGGGTTGGTTTTAAAATGTAGGGAAATGGATGCCAAATATAGTATTCCTGGACACATTTCACCATTCTATGTGCCTGTCCCACAGAAACATGGAAGTTTTCTTTCCGAAGTTCAAGTTAGATCAGAAGTATGAGATGCATGAACTGCTTAAGCAGATGGGAATCAGAAAGATCTTCTCCCCCTGGGCCAGCCTGAGCGAGCTCTCAGCTACTGCGAGAAATCTGAAAGTAACTAAGGTAAGTCCCAGCCCTTCCACGGGACCCAGCGCGAAGTAGGAATGGGACCAAAACCAACAAATATTTTTGCAAATCGCTCTGATGTTGATAAAATACCACGTTGTAGCAGAAATCTAGATTTCAATTCCCAAGACTTGAAACAGCACCCAGGTTGGATGTTTTTTGGGTTTTGAACTACTTTATTGAAGCGTGAGTTCAACTGATTTATTTTCCCTTCGGTAGAGCCTCCCCTCTTCTCTCCCAAATGCTCAAGGGGAAATGTACCCCTGAAAGGGAACAGATTCATTTAAAATGATGAAGTTACACCACTTGCAAGACGAAAGAAACCCCCAGAAGTCACCTGCCCGACTTCCCGGCCCATGTTGGAATCCCCTCTATAATAACCCTACAAATATCCCCTAGTTGGTTGGGTCCTTCCCTCCCTCCCTCCCTCCCCTCCCTCCTTCCCTCCCTCCCTTTCTCTTACTGCTTCCAGTGACGGGGAAGTCAACGCTTCTTTGAAAAGCATCCCAATGCACAAGCAGCTAACATGTATGTGGGTTTGGGACCCACAAGCAGCTAACATGTATGTGCGTTGGGGACCTGTAACTCCTCCCCGACTCATCCTCTCTGACCCTTGTTCAGCCTCTAAAGCTACAAAGAGCTTAGCCACCGCCCCCGCCCCCAAGGAGCCCCTTCAGATCGTGGGGTCTCGGGGGAAGCCCTGCTGGTCTGGGGTCGCGCACTGTCCGTTGTGCGGAGCAGCTCTGGGCCTCGCAGGCAGCCGGTCAGCATTCCGGGGCGGCTCATGACCGCCAGCAGCGAGCCCCCAGCCATGCTCACGGCAGAGAACATGCCCCGAAAATGCCATTTTCCAAATGGCAGCTGCACCTGTGCTTTGTGCCGCTGATTCCTGAGCAGAGCGGGTGTTGCGTGTTTCAGGTTTGGGTGTCCGGGGTCTCCTGGTATTAGTTCCGGGGCTTCTAAGGCGAGCCCCTGGCGCACCGCCAGACCACTCCAGTCAGCACAGAGGAGCCTCGCACCACCCACGCTGAGCCTGGCCCTGGGGGCAGGACCACAGCAAAAAAAAAAAATGTCATGGGTGGGGCTCAATGAACTGCCTCCTGTCCACTGGCACCCAAACGGTCTTCCACATTATCTCCTTTCCCAGGTTTTACAGAAATCAGTGATCGAGGTCAACGAGAAGGGCACCGAGGCCATGGCGGGCACGCTGTCAGAAATCATCGCCTACGCCTTGCCCCCCCTCATCAAGGTGAACCGGCCATTCCACTTCATGATCTATGAAGAAGCTTCCAGACTGCTTCTCTTTCTGGGCAGGGTGGTGAACCCCACTCTGCTGTGAGGGATGACGCGCCCGCGTTCGACGTGCACAGCGGGTGCGGAGTGCGAGCCGTGGGAACCCACACACGACACCGGCTCCGGGCGGCGGAAGAGAGGGGCCCGGGTCCTCTGCGGGTCCGAGCCGCTCCTAGGTAAACCCGCATAGTACATGCAAACTTACCTGAAGGGGATGTTCGGACCACCTGCTTGGTATTTTAAGCCTGTTCCTAAGGACTAGCCTGGTGGAGTGTCTTTACCTTTCTCTGTTTCTCACGCATCTGGACTCCAAACATGGTAGACAAGGACACTGTTCCCAGAGGAAGCCTCTGGGAGGAAGAGTCGTCCACACGCTCCATGAGTCACGCGCTCGACTCTTTACTTCCCTCTGGTGCACAGTGTTTTCTCGTAATCTGGGGTAGAATCATTTCTTGCTGACTAAAATCGTGGAGAGCAGGACCAATACAATGTCACTGGTCAGACCAAAAGAGCATAAAGTATAGAAACCAAAGTGGAGTCACTCGTGTTAACCAAGAGGGCTGCCAGTCAGCCATGACACTTTGGCTCAAGAGGGAAAACACCTAAGTCAGCGCAGACACATCTGGCAAGGAGACCCACCTAAGGTATCTGTCTGCACATGTGGTCAGAACGGCCGTGTCTGCAGAGCGGGACCGCCCCCAGATGGGCTCCTGGGGAAGGTCTGTACTTGCCATCAGGGGTGCCAAGACCCTTATCAAAGGACCCAGAAGCGTGGAGTGCGCCACTTTCAAGGGCATAACCGAGGCAGGCCCCAGACCACTGCCGAGACACCAGAGGGCTGCTCCACGCCACGCTGGTCTCCCCTGGCACCGGCCACCGGAGGCTCTGCCCTGCTGGACTGAGGACTTCGCCTGCCCTGCTGCCCGCCCGGCTCCAGAGACCCTTCCTTACAAGACGCCGACGACTCCCTTGTTCCCGTGCTGCCTCCCCGACCTGCAGACCGAGACTCGGGGACTCGGGTTCGTGATCCCCCACTGATTGCTGTGTGTGTGTGTGTGTGTGTGCGTGTGTGTGCACACGTGTGCGATATTTCTCCTGGATCGTTAGTGTGGGCCGGATATTAACGTGTATTGATGAATCTGCCTTCAATAAAAGCTGAGTGAACGGCATAGTTACCATGTGCGACTCTGGTCTGGCCCTCGGTGCCCGGCTGCTCAGCGGGCGGCGAGCCGAGCAGCTGCCCAGCTGACTTACAGGAGAGACTGGATGGTGAACACACGCCCGTGACAGGAATTAGAAAAACACGGCTGTCATCTGTCCTGATCGCAGCGTCTGTCTCAGTGTGGCCTGGCCCACTCCATGACGCACTCGGTCATTTGGCAGAGACCTTAACGGAGCCACAGGTCCCCTCGTCCAGCGCCTTCATTTCACAAAGGACGCAAGTGGGGAACCAGAGGCAGGGTTACATGATGACTCTCACGGGCCCAGGCACTTCTGGGGTCTATCCTCCATAAAAGGCATACACGTGTATTAAACATTATATGTTATGACTGCATAGGTATAATAATGAATATATATGCACACACACAGCTATTATGGATTGTATTTCTCTTTATATCAAGGCAGTCAAAGTGTCACGGCCACCGGCCTGCAGTGACCGTGGAACGCTGCAGATGGCTCGTCGAAACTAGAGAAACACACACAGAGACAACCAGGTCCTGTGGGAAAAGGGACGGAACGGCCACTCTCTCTAGTGGGGATCACCATGGTCACCATCCCCAGGGGAGAGCGCCCCTAAGGGAGAGCACCCCATTCTCCCACCCAAGCAGGCTTTTTATTGGGTTCATTTGCATAAGAATTCAGGTAAAGCTCATTAATCATTGCCGGGAAGTAAGGATCAAATAACAAGGAACTCTGAGGGCCTATTTTGAGTCAGGATCAGATATCTAAAGAGTTGTAAAACTTTGAGGAGCAAACTTACTTCTTCCTTGGACCCTTATCATTTAATTGAGAGCATTCTAAACAAAGCAGGTTTCACAGAATTTTCCATATTCTTCCTTAGGCCTGATCACCCAGGGAACCCGCCCTTTCCAGCACAGAGCTGCACCACCCTCTGTCATTGTTTCAGGCTTAGGTGGAGCAAGGGAAGTAAGGCAGCCAAGAGATTAGGAGATTTTCTCCCAGATGATGAGGACTCAGGCTATGTCAAAGCCAAGGGGCGAGGATCCATCACCCCCTTTTGCTGTAGCCCCCAAAGTCCTTCCTTGGGGGCCTCCCATGTGATCGTGCCTGTCTTAAGTCGTCCCCCCCCTTGGGGAATCTTACCCGTCATTGGCTAACCGACCAAGCGTTGGGGGCCAGTTATGGATGAAGTAGCAGAAGCAGCGCTCCTGCCAGGGAGATAATAAACCTGTCTCCTTGGTGGCTTACGGTCCAAGGTCAGCCTTAGCCTTGGCGGGGGTTACAACTCCTGATACCAGGCAGGGCAGTTCCCAACAGTCAAAGTACATAACTTGCTTCACTGCAAGAAGTGAAACATCCTTATGGGCCCCACGAAGCATCACGGACCTGAGGCACGGGGCCTGCCGCATCGAGTGGATGAGTCACACGGGACCCCTCAGGGGAAGGTGCCCAGGGCAGCAACGGCAGGGTCGCCGGGCTCCAGCCCCAGGCCCATCGCACTTTCCCTCCTTTTGGTCTAGACCAGCCGGCGAGGCCCACCCACACAGGCCGAGGCCCACCCACACAGGCCGCACGCGCTGCCCCCTCGGGTCCCCACTGTGGTGGAATGGAATGTAAGTGCGGACTCTGTCTATGCCGGGATTGGAAGGGAAATAGAAAATACCCCCGAAACTTTTTGTAACCAGTCATGTTCTGTGACAGAGACAAGAAAATACTTTAGGAGTAAATTCTGAGACCCATCAATAGACCTAATCTTGAAGCGTCAACTAAATGCCTAATTGGATTTCTATCTGTTTGATACCCAATTTTATACCTCAAATCAATCTGTTGATGAGTCCCTTTAACTAACATGAATCAGAGTAATGTGTGTGTCCTATCAGTGTGAACAGGTACCAATAACCAGCAGCAGGATCAAGACTGACTTTTCATCCTTCTAAACCCCGGATACTCATGCATTCCTCGGTTCCCCCCGGGGCACCCGTGGACAACTGCAAGGGCAGGGCAACTCTCGGGCCTAAAAAGACAGGCAGAAATAGAGGGCTAACTCCAAGGGGCATTCCTCAGTGACTTGTCAGTGTTCAGTTTTCATGGAGAAATACTAGAAAGAAAAATAAAAGAGGGTTTGATCAAATGACCTACTTTCAAGAGATGAAATTTAGAGAAAAAATGTCTACAAAAACAACACCCTCCGACATAAATGTGGCCAAACTGAGTTCTGGGAAGTTTCATTCTCATTAAGGGATCCGCAGAACACACAGGCATATCCCCTGGTCCCCCACACGCACAGTAGCGGCATCACGACTCCAGCCAACACGCTGCTCTTCAAGGCGGGAAATGGCTGATCCCATTTTTAAAAATATTTTTAATATCCCCCACATATGCTTGGAGAAGCTCCTAAAACACTAGGTTTCAGACTTTCCAAGTATATTCGTACATGCACGGTGGAGAAATGCATGTTACAGGGTGCAGCCAAGAGGGGGGACCCCAAATGGGCATTTGAAATGGGGTCCAGAACTAAGGTATCCAGGAGATTTTAAGATGTCTCCATCCCCCCCCCCCCAACCCAGGGTGTGGGTTGGGGGAAGGGACAAATGGAGCAGGGCCATTGAGATCTGTTTTGCATAGCAACAGCCTTGCAGCTACTCTCTGGTGTGGTCATTTAACATATCTATAGCCTTTGGCTGGTTGCATGGATATGTTAAATAGCTGTGATCATCTCTGAGCCAGGGGAATAGAAGTAACTTCCCCACCAACACGTGACTGGGGGCAGATTCCCCCAAGCTACAGCGCCTGCGTGGGAGCTCGGAGAAGATTGGCTCCAGGACATGGGGCCACACCTGCCCAGACTCATGATGGCAGCCCAGTAAAGCTGGAAGGGTATGAATTCTGGCAAGTGAAGCCGAGTGTGGGAGGAGTCGGAAATGAGGCTGCAGAGGAAGATTGGCCGCGGGGATTTAAAACCCAGACTTGGCGGCCATTCGGAGGGAGAACCACGCGGCTTTGACGGAGTAGAAACTCCTGCATCCCAGAGAGAACCGTGCTGCTTTAGGAGAGAGAACCACGCGGCTTTGGCAGAGTGGGGACTCTCCCCTTCCCGCAGCCCTGAGAGGGAGAACCACGAGGCCTGGACAGGGCGGGGACCCCCACAGCTTTAGAAGGGGAACCACCACCTGGTTTTAGCAGAGATCCCGGCGACTCAGCTGAGGGTGCCGGGAACCCAGGGAGGTCTCCCAGTCGAGATAGAGGACTAACGAAGAACCAGAGGACTGTCTGAGCCATGGACTTCATTTTCCTTTCCTGAGATACGGTACTCTGGACTGGGCAAAGGGGGAAGGAAGGAAGGACTGTCTGTTTGTGGGTGCTTTAAGGGACTTTAGGATTTTTGATAAAGACATTAGGTCATTACTTTAAGTTTGTATAGCATTAAATAAACATTTCCTTTCCTTTTCACAAATCTCTGGCATTGAGAAACGTCTTTCCTAGGGCGGCGGACAAAACGGACCCGGGGCCTTCTTTCAATAATAGTATATCGTCCCAGGCACCCCCCTTGTTGTGTTCTGTAACATGCAGACCAATGAAAAGTGTCATTAATGATACAAAAAAACACATCAAGGTCTCTACTGAGGGGGAAAAATCTGCACATTATAACAAGGTGTCTCTATTTGTAAGTGCGAGGTTTTAAAAACTTCCTACACAGACACCCACACAGTCACTCCCACATGCTGTAAAAATTAAGAACAGATTATTTAACTAAGCTAATTCCTTTTTCCTCACTGTAAAACTCCTAAGTAAGCTAACTGCCTGTTCATTTCAGTTCAAATATTTCGTGTTTGCCAACTAACCGCAAGGCAAAACGGGCCCGTCCCTTCCAGAGTAAGGTGCCTGAGTGCAGGAAGTCAAATAATGGAAATGATTTCCAAATACATGTGAGGTTGTGGAAGAAATTTTCTATGTGCTCCATAAATTTCTGTTTTACCACAATGAAGTAGAACCCTTCTCAGCTCTCCATTTCTGCCAGTAAAACTGAGGTCCGCACATCTGTTTTTCACTTGTAATGCTGACCCGTGAAATTCGAGAACCTACCCTTAAACATGTAAGTCTCCACAATTCACGCACAAATGAGGCGATGCCCCTATGTCCCCGCAGTCACAGATGGAGGAGATCTTTCTTTGCCCTACAAGCAGTTTAAAGGAACTATCTGGTATGTCGTTAAACTAAGGCTTTTTACAGGAGTATCAGTCTCATTTCCAGTGTGGATATACATAACTGTCACCGAATTGTTTTTTTATTGTGTTATATATCTATTTTTGGAAATTATATAATTTTAACAAATGTTTCAACAGTTTTAGAAATGATCGTGATCTGCAAAAAATAAAAAGGAAGAAAAACTTCTGAGCATAATTTTTATTGACTGTCTTCGTTGACGACACGGTACCCGTGGAGGAAGACTGCAGCCGACCTCTGCGAACCCCCGGATTCTGTAAGTGGTAGAGATGTTTCTCTGTCCAATCACCTTCTTCTTCTCTCACATGCAAAAAGGAAGTAAAAGCTCCTAACTGCCAAACGGATTACTGAACAAATTAACTGAAATTCTCCATTTATTTAAAACAGCAGAGTCGATGCTGATTACGAATCAAAGCGCTGGGGAAACTGGTGTCACTCTGAGTCCCATGCGCGCACCATAAAAACTCTCTCCCAGATCACAGAGCTCAAGTGCACGTTAGTGACGCTGATAGGAGACCTCATGACAACAGTTCAGTGAAATCCGCAAAGAATGTACTGAGGTAGCCTGAGTATATGGTCAGGCTTCTGGCGCCTACTCAGTTTCTGAGTACTGACAAGTGGGTAGTTGAACAATTCCATTAACCTATCCTTAAAGGAGACATACTAAGAATCACTAAAAATAGCCCCCCAAAAGAGCCAGCTGTGAGGAAACGGGGGCGAGAAATGGCATCAAAGTTCCACACTGAGTGCCTGTCCCTGAGTAATTTGTAGCTGGTGTTGGTATGCTTCTGTCACTCATTACTTAAAAATGAGCTGTCTTACTCTTTAATTGTGGAATAAAAACTGCAGAAGAGTATTTAAAACTTTTTTCACAAACACAGGTATCTCGTTAACCTATGTTTTATTTTGAGTAAATTCACTATTCATTATTTTACATTATAAAAAGTAACCACACACGCATATGCATTCACAAATTAGATCATCTTTATCATACATCAATATATTAAAAAAAACAAATATTTCCTAATATCAATATAGTTATATGCTGATTGCATTTTGAAATAGAGAAGCTGACAATAGCTTCATACAGTATATCTCAAGAACTGACATTTTAAAATTAATAATCATATATATTCCACAGGCAAATTTCGATGGAAATATTAGCATTAGTACAAATAAATGCTGTTGACATAGCTTAAGCATGATAGCTTGGAATAACAACTGATTTAAACTAGATTCATCATTTTTAATTAAGTAAGGACAAATACAATCTAAAATGTAAACAAAGTATGTATAAAATAAATCTTTCTAGGAAATAAAGGAAATCATCAATCTATTATTTTGAAGGTACTTGTGGCTAAAAGGTATCAGAAAACTTTGTGGAATTTTCATTGCCAAATTTAAACTTCAGAATACCCTACGGCACACTGTCACCACTATCGGACTGACAAAATTGCGGACAGCTAGCTATTGGTGCCCTTTTCGGTGGGACTTTTCAACTGCGCTTGGAGATTCTTGAGAAATGAATGTCTTGTCTTTCTAACTCCCACGTCCCCCTCCAAGCAATTCTCCAGCTAGGGCCGTTTCAGCTGATACAGGCTTCCATGTAATTTTTAAATGCTGAAGCTCTAGGTCAAGTAAATAGATGGTTCCCTGCATGAATACACGCAGACTTGTCTCTTCTGCAGCAGTAGTTAAAGCGATACTAAAGTTGTTTTTCATTACACTCACTATAACGGTGGAATTCCGTAACCACGTTAGTATTTAAGAAATATATATTATACCTCCTAGGGAATCTAATTTCAGATATGGAACTTTAGCAACACCAGCTGCCATAATGTAGCTCTTCCCATTCGTTTGAAAAAAAGAAGCCCCAGCCACTGCGTTAGCTTTTGTCCACCAATTGTATTGTCTCCACTGGTCTTTGTTTTGCTTCCTTCACCAAGCGGATGATTTAAGGATTGGATTTCCTGGATTTTCTTTGTCAGGAAGGAAGGAAGAGAAAGAGAGAGGGAGGAAGAGAAGAAGGAAGGGAAGGGACGGATGGAAAGAGGGAAGGGAGAGGGAGAAAGAAAGAGAGAAAGAAGAGAGAGAAAAAAACAAAACATGAAAAATGTTATCCATATAGTGTGTACAAAGTAAATGAATGTAAGTAGAATCAACATTGAATAAACCTAATACATGAGAATTCTGATTAAGTGAAAAAATACACATTAAATATTACTTGGAATTACCTTTAATCACCAAATCCTGTGACCACAGCATTTGATTCAATTCATCCTTTTCCTACATTCTTTTATTTTGTGCACAACTATAACAGAAGTTAATGCAGCTTAAATATATCAATCATCTGCCTTGAGAGACTTAAGACCTGGTGCGCTCCCATGCCTCCTCTAAGACCTGGTATCCCAGCTACCGGAGCTGCGGGTCATCTCTGTGACACTCAGAAGTCAGAGAGTGGACTGCACAGAACGTTGCTGAGCAACAAAAACAGGTAGTATCTTCTGAAATCACTTCCGAGGCTCATTTTAAGTGGGAAGGATCTATTTTCATTCGGACACGGCAGGGTGCCGAGCCGTGGCCAGCACTCCCCAAAAGGCAGTGGAGCCCACTGAGCGCCCGTTCCAGCGGCTACGCACGGTGCGGGGGCGGGGGAGGAGGCTTGACAAAGCCCAGAGAGCAGCACGTTCCCCGGAGACACAGTCACAGACGGGAGACCTGGGCGCGTGGTTAAAAAGCAGCTGTTGTGCCAACACCCCCTCCTTCAGCGTATTCCGAACAGAAGAGACAAGTGATGTGACTTGTTAGCAGAGTGTTTGTTTCTAGATTCCCTTTTCAAACAACCAATTAAGGATGTAACTGATTGTATAATTATTAGTACAATTATACATCTGTTGAAGAAGAGAAAGTCAGTGTATAAATAGGAAAAACATGCTCAACAATGGGAGAACAGATGAAGACAGTAATCTGAAATAAAGAAGAGCTGATACGAATATACGAAGTTTCGATGGTCTTTATGTTTGAAGAGTGCCCGTGGGGCTGAGAAAAACAAGCGGAGAAGAGAATGAATGGCCGTCTGATGAACTCTAGGGCCGTCTTCCGAGAGGAAGAGGGCGGAGAGTGACAGGGCGATCTCGGGTCCCAGAACAGGAAGGCACCTCAGAGGACACGCCCATAGGCAGCCCTGTCACTTCGCTGATGGGGTGATGAGGCCCAGAGTGCCGCGTGGAGGCGTGGAGCGTCTGCAGCTCTCTGGCTGCCACTGGACCCAGGGCACAGGGCTCCAGCTCCGTGCCCTCTACACACCGTGGCCCTGTCCTGGCTCCGCCCGCACGGCCCGTAAGTGTCCTGTCCACAGTGTAATCACCAGAGCGACTGTATCGAGCAGCCTTCTCTGCAAATGAGAGGACCCTCTGTAGCAGCACTACTGATCTGCGATAGCAAGATTATTCCCTTCTACTTCCCACTGCTTTTCCCATGATACTTAGTGCTACCCTTTCCTGAGCCCCTTTCCATAAATTTGTGTCTAAGTTCTGAATGAATCTTAAATACGTCTATATTTGTGCATGCTGATGGCCAATAAACACCGAGAGTAAGCTACAGGATGGTTCAGCTCCTCAAAGGGACACCACTAAAAAACGCATGTCAGAGCCCTTCCTGGAAAACATTCATGAGTGCGTCTAAGAGAGATCTGAGCCCTGTTTAGAGCCTGCGCTCATCAGGAGAGCAAACCTGCAAGCACCGCCGAGGCAGCCGGGGAGGATCACTCCTACGTGACGGGCTCTCTCCTACGTGACGGGCTCTCTCCTCATGCCGACTCTCGCGGGACTACCCCCTTCGATGTTTAAAGTAAACGAAACAAAGGCTCCGGCTGCCCAAACAAGGCGCTGAGGGCACAGGAACAGGAGCCCGGGGAGTGGAGAACGGAGGCCCTCCAATCCACAACCTCGCCTGTAAGGATGCACGCACGCAGCGGGTAGGAGTCTCCAGCTCACTGCCCCACGACTCTGGGCTCCGCGCTGCAGCGACAGTCAAGTGGGCGCGGGCATGCCTGTGTTCTGAGCCCTGGGCGACGAAACACTGTCCACTGAAGCTGGCCCCTCAGAGGGCTGCAACTGTCCTCTCAGATCGAGTCCCTGAAGGCACACCTTTCACAGGACAGTTTGGAAAGATCTCGGATATTGGTGGGAGCCGTTTCAAGTTTCGTGCTGATTCCCTACAGATCTCCTTATGGAGAGTATTAACGTTACAGAGGCACGTGCGACAACCGCCCTTTCCCTTGGAACACGTCCTCCCTGCGGACGCTTCCCGTCCTCTGGAAACTGAGCGGGAGGAAAGCATGCCCAGAAACAGAGGAGGGTGCCGCACTCAGCGGTTCGCCCCCGGGGTACTTACAGGGTGGCCTTGCGTGGCGGCGTGTCCTTGCTCCCACTGCTCTTGGGATCAGCCGAGCTCCCCGCCCCACGGGAGGTGCTCGGGAGGGGCGCCCCGGGAGAAAAGGACGCCGGCAGGCTACTGGCGTTGCGCGTCCGGAACGAGTCGTCTGCAAGTGACACGTGCACAGTCAGACACAGGGAACACACTGAGGCAAGAAAGGTCAATGGTAGCTGACATTTCTTCTTCTTAATCTTTAGGGTGTAACTTATACACAGCAAGCTGCACAAATGGAAGGTTTTCACATGTGTGCGCTCGGACCATCGCTGCGATCAACAGCTAGCACACCCGTCTCGACCACACGCGGCCTCCTTGAGAACCCCCCCTGCTCCCCACTCACAGGTAACCACGGATCTGCCTCCCGAGAGTCACTAGAGATCAGTTTGCATTTTCTAGAATTTACATAAGTGGAAGCATACGATATGTCCTTTTTTTTTTTCGGTCTGGCTTCATTCAGCACAATCATGCTGCCGGTTCCCCACGTCGTCGTGTGTGTCGCTGTCTCACTGCGTTGTATTGCTGACTGGCATTCCACTGTGTGGGCGCGTCCACGTTTGTCTGTCCGTTCTCCTACCGACAGACGTCTGGGTTTTTCTGGTTTTTGACTGTTAGGAACAAAGCGCTACGGATGATCATGTACCAGTCAGTGTGTGGATACAGGTTTCAATTTCCCTTCAGTAAAAGCCCAGGAGTGGAACGGCTGGATCACACAGTAAGTGTATATTTAACTTCCTTAGAAACCACCTCATTCCGTCCGAGGTAGCCGAACCACTGACCTGCAGCCGCAGTGTCCGGGAGTTCCGGAGAGTGGCTCCGCGTCCTCCTGCACGCCTGACATCGCGAGCCTCCTTAACCGAGACTTTCCAGTGCACGTGAAGTGGCTTCTCCTCGTGTTTTTTCTCACCGCTTTTAATCTGCATTTCTCTGATGAGTACTAGTAAGTATCTCTCTGTGTACTTATTGTGAAATGTATATTCAGATTTTTTTGCCATTTTAAAACTAGTTGACTAATTACTTTTAAAGATTTCTTTGTATATTCTGGATACAAGTCTTTTGTCAGGCACGTGTAATATGAATATTTTCTTCCAATCTGTGTCCTGCCGTTTATTTTTTATGATTTATATCAAAGCACAGAAGTTTTAAATTTTGATGAAGTCTAACATGTTAATTTCTTCTTTTGTGATTTGGAGAAACCTTTGTCTATTCCAAAAATTACAAAGACTTCTGCCTGTATTTTCTTCAGAAATATCATACTTTTAACTTTTATGCTTAAGTTTATAAAACATTTTGAGTTAATTTTGTATATAGTGCAAGAATTGAAGTTCAGGGTTTTAAAAAAATATTTTATTTATTTATTTTTAGAGAGGGAAGGGAGGAAGATAGAGAGAGAGAGAGAAACATCAATGTGCGCTTGCTGGGGGTCATGGCCTGCAACCCAGGCATGTGCCCTCACTGGGAATCGAACCTGCCATACTTTGGATTGCGCGCAGCTGCGCGCAATCCACTGAGCTACGCCAGCCAGGGCTTGAAGTTAAGTTTTTTTTTTTAAATATAGACACCCAGTAATTCTAGCATCCCTTTAAAACATGCTCCCCCCTCACCACTGACTTTCTTTGGAGCACTTGCTGAAACCCAGTTGGCCACACAGGTCTGCGTAGGCCGCATGGTCTTGGTTACCAGAGCTTTGCAGAGAGTGTAAAAATCAAATGGTTTAAGCTCTCCAGTTCTTCTTTTCAAAATGGTTTTGGCTATACTCATTTCTGTGCGTTTCACTGTAGACTTTAGAATCAGCTTGTGAATTTCTACAAAAAGGCTGCTAGGATCAGCTGCTTCTGATCAGGATTGCACTGAATTTCTGGGTCAATTTTATAAAACCAACATCATAACAACATGAAATTTTTCAACCCATAAACATGGCACGTCTCTCAGAACGCCCTACAACGGCGCACTGATTACTTTGAATCAGTTACCTGGACAGCAGCCACTGCCGGAAGGGCACCCCGACCCTCTGGTTGTCTTGCGTGCAGGAACACATATGCCACGTGAAAAGCTCCCTCCCCGCACCTGGAGACACCCTGCACCACTGACAGGAAACCACTCTGGCCAGAGGCTCCGTACAAGCAAGACGTGCCGCCCCTTTTCTCATTCCCTGTGTTGTTGGACCCCCCACCGACAGACACCCAGACCTTGCCTGTCCTCCTTTCTGGTGAGCACGGCCTTTTTCCCCTCTGTCCTGTCCATTTCTTCACAAATTTACTGTTTCTTTGTCTAAAAAGTGTTAAGGCCTGGCTGGCGTAGCTCAGTGGATTGAGTGCGGGCTGCAAACCAAAGCATTGCAGGTTCGATTCCCAGTCAGGGCACATGCCTGGGTTGCAGGCCATGGCCCCCAGCAACCGCACATTGATGTTTCTCTATCTCCTTTTCTTTCCCTTCCCTCTCTGAAAGTAAATAAATAAAATCTTAAAAAAATATATTAAAAGGCACTTGGATGGATCATTCTTTGAACCTCATTTTGTGATCTGAGTATCATACTGTAATTATCCCATGTGTGCATATTAAATTGTTTTTTCTCCTGTTAATCTAGTCTTGTGCCAATTTTATTATTTTATTATTAACCCAGCTATAAGAACTTCTTAAAGGAAGGGAGATTCTTCCCCTACTCAACACCACATTTTTTAGGTCTTCCTTAATTTCTTCCAGCAACATTTTAAAGTTTTTAGTGTACACTTAGCATGTATTTTTAAAAATTAATCCCTGAGAATTTAATGTTTTTGAAGTTGTTGTAAATGTCATTTTTAAAATAGACTTTTTTTTTAGTTTTACATTTTCAGGAATATTGAAAAGACAGCACTAAGATTTCCCATTTATCTCCTCACCCAGTTTCCCTCGTATTAAAAGCACTTCACATTATTATGCTAAACTTGTTGACAATGGAGGAGCCAACAGTGATACATGATAAAGTAAAATCCACGCCGTGTTCAGATTTCCTTAGTTTTTACCTGGTAACATCTGTCTCGGGATTCTATTCAGTGTACCACATTACTCGTTCTTGGCTCTCCTTGGCTGTGACAGATTTTCAGCTTTTCCTCGTTTTTGATGACCTTAACAGTGTTGAAGGGCACTGGCCAAATACTCAACAGGACGCTCCACTACTGCAATCTGACGCCTTTCTTACATTAGACCGGGGTTGGAGGGAGGATGACAGAGGTAACGTGCCATCTCCATCACATCGTATCAAGGATACACACTGGGGCATATTTTTATCACATTTTATTTTAGTGCTTCCTGACAGTTCACTAGAAATGGGATTTTTTTGAGTCATGGGGTCCTTTTTAAATCTAGGGTTCTTGATGAGCTTTACCAAACTGCTTGCTAACACAGCCCCATTGCTTCCCACAGCCACTAACAGTGGACACGTGGCGTTTTCCCCTGAACCCTCCCCGGCATCCCTTCCGCACCTCCCCAGGTCTGACGCGCCCACGTGATGCGCCTTGGCGCGCTGAAACTGGAGACAGGGAGAAGTCACCGCACAGTTAAGGATGGGCTCACGTCAAGCACAAAGCATTCAATCCGACCTTCCAAGCTATGACTCCGATCCTTCCTTTCAGCTTCATTGAACTCTGCTTCCCCTTCCACGCGCTCCACGCGCCGGACTGGCCCACCGCCGCTCCCTGGAGACACGGCCCCCGCTGCCGTTCAGGGCGGGAACTCTGCGCGGGGCGTCACTCCGCACCCACCTCTGCCTGCCAGAGCCCGGGCGCACCTTGGGGCCCACCTCACAGGACACAGTCATCTTAAAGGCTGTGTCTCGAGTCCCACACACAGATAAAATCTCTTCTCTACGTGAACACCTGGCACATTTTTTAAAATTTTTTTTATTTTAATTGTTGTTCAAGTACAGACATTTTGCTTCCATTTTCTCTTTCCACCTCATGTGTAACCGTATAGTGACTTTTTCCTCAGTCTGCACTTCACTAAGTAATCGATATGTAATAAGCACATTTTTCTAACAAAGAAAACCAGATATTTCATTAAAACTATATTCCATCTCTCCAAGACAATATTGAACACTTAAGACAGATTATTTTTCAAATATTTTAATAAAAGATTACCCTTATAAATATGTGCTTTTATTTAAGTTTGTGGACGTTAAGTTTTAGGGTCTGTCTATATATACTCTCCTGATTCTCAAGATAACTTAGGAACTAGCAAAATAAAAACTGAAGAAACTAATGCACATAATTAAAACTTTTAAGAACCAGTTCAGCCCTGGCCAGGGAGCTCAGCTGGTGAGAGAGTCATCCCAATACACCAAGGTTGCCAGTTTGATGCCCGGTCAGGGCACATACAAAAATCGACCAATAAATGCATAGGTAAGTGGAACAACAAATCTCTCTCTCTCTCTCTCTAAAAATATAAACAAACACACAAACAGTTCAGAGTCCATATTCTTAATGATTTAGGCAAAGAAATTTCGGGGCAAGAACTGTTACAAGTTCCTGAGTAAAAGTCTTCGTTCACAGCTGGGTGAAGCTAACTCCGAGAGGCCGGCAGGGACCCACCCGAGTCGGAAGGACCCCTTGTGGAAGCTGTGAGCATCTGCACCGTTAGCTCCGAGTTGTCTTTCTATACAAACTTGCAACTTACAGCAAGTAAGGTCTTCGGGATTGTTGCGGTGCCTGTGGTACAGCTTGTGGAGCCAGCCTACATACTGTGTGTGAATGTAAAGCTTTAGCGTCAGAAAGGTCTTCTGCTCTGGCAAATGAACACACACTGTGTACGGAATAGTCAGTGAGTGTGTATGTATTCTCCGTGAGACTATAAAGAACACAGTCAGAGGCAAGAGAAAGACAGACCACTCAAAACACAACCTAAACGGGAAACATAATGACTAAAAATTTCAGAACTTCAATTTACACTAAAAAGTTGCCATAGGTCAATATTACAATTTTCGACGGATATTTCCAGAGCAAAAAATCTGCGTTCTATTCCCTACGCCGGAAGCCAGCAAACTGCGGCTCGTGGCTGGATCTGCCTGCCGCACGTTTCCGCGGGCAGTTTCCCTGGAACTTTCCCTGGAACACGGCCACCCTCGTTCCTTGCGTGTGTCCCCGGCTCCTTTCACTCCACGGTGGCAGAGCTGAGTGATGCGACAGAGGCCAGAGTGGCCGACAAGGCCTCAAATGTCTACTCTCTGGCCCTTCCCGTAAACAGTTTTCTGACTCCTGGTATAGTGTCACATAGGTAATACTGCAAATGTTTAGCTGCACGTCATCTGCACAAAAACATTAGCAAAGCCCTAATGTTTTTAACTAACTTAAAAATACTACAAAAAAATTCAGTCTATGCCTCAGCAGGTCTCAGGCTATGGTAAAACCTATCCTATCACTGTCACTGTGTCCTTTTTCTCTTTTAAAAGTAGTAAACTCCAAGTCTTGACACAGAGTGAGAACGGAATAGTACAGTCAAATGTGTTCTCAATTGCTAGGGAAAAGTTTAATTTCTTAGGTATTTGATAAAGATATACATTTAGGGAAAATCCTGTATCTAGAAATTTAAAAAGCCGGTCATTTAGAGAAAATCGTATTTTATTACATGCAACAATATCTTGAGCAGCTCAGAGTTTACTCACCGGCGAGGGAAATCACAGACGTCTTCGCGAAGCCTGAGACAGAGGTCGTGTATGCTGCTGCAGAGCTTTTACTGGAAAAGAACAAAATCAAGTTGCAAACACAAGAGCGTGTGTGTTTCAACCCCACTCATCTAGCACCTGGCCCTTTTTAATCTTTGATTTTAAATGCTTTCCCTACTTGTAATAAAACATGCTTGCTATTTTTACTTCTCATGTATTTTTTCTATTCCACGCATCACAGCAACTACTTTGTCTAAAACTTAGAAGCATTTCCTTAAACTTTTGCTGAATTGGAATAACAGTTAGTCTTTTGATGATCAGCAAAGACGGGTAATATGATGACATTTTCTTGCTAACAACCCATCTTCACTTCTAATCCCTTTTGTCCAAACAGAGATCCCACTATTGGCTAGGAACTCTACATAGACCTATTGATAAGGTCCTAACATAGAGCTTAAACTCTGACTAAGCTAGTCTTAATAAAAGAAACACATGTTTCTCCATAACATATTTTTGATAGATAAATAAATACTTTAAAAAATACTTTTAAAGACTTTATGCCTTCTTAAAATCACTTTGCTTGTTGGTTGATGTGCAGCTGTTATACTACATGTCTGTAACAAAATCTCATGTTCATTTAATTTATTGATTCTCTCCTAGTCTTAACTGTTTATACTTTTGTCTGCTGAGCCGAGGGGGAAACTGGACACTCTTTTGCTGCCAGAACTCTGCTGTGGTCAGTGCGCCACAGAGATGCATCGGCGGCCTCTCACAGCCAGAAACAACAGTACGAAGAGCAAACACATGCCCACAGCCGTTCAGCGGACGGGGCCCGTCCGCACCCACGTGGAAGCTGTCTGGCACATGGGACACAGGGCCACCTTCCTCATGAAGCAAGACAGGGGCTCTGGGAGGCCACTCCACGGCTGTCCCGCCGTGGTCGCCCAGACCACCAGGACACCTGTTCCGAAGCAAACTGGTAGACTGCTATTTTCTAACAAAGTCTTTAGAGAAGAAACCTAAAAAATGATTGACCTATAAAAAACCCCAAATTAATGCTGATTTTATAATACTGTAAGTACTTCACATACATAAAGATGCGAGACTATAAAATAAAAGTTGAAACGTGAACAGCTACTTCCGGACAAGATGAAGGTGTAGGTGGAGCCACCATACCTCCTCGCACAACCAAGATAGGGACAACAACAATTTATAAACAGAATAACAACCAGAACTGATAGAAAACTGAAATGTAAGGAAGTCAGACAGCCAAGAAGTTAAAACAGACCCGTTCATCTAGACCGGTAGGAGGGGCGGAGTTGGACACCCAGGTGCGGGTCGCAGTGGGAGGGCAGAGAGCGTAGGACCAGGCACGCAAGGCATCTGGGGCGCACAAGACCGCAGCGGGTGGACCCTGGGCGTGCAAGCAGCAGCTGGCAGACTCCCGTGAGGGGTGGCAACCGGCAGACCCAGCGAGGCCACAATTATGAAGCAAGGCAGTGTGCGCAACCCAGGGTCCCAGCGCTGAGAAACAGAGCCTCGGGACACTGACTGAGGACACCTGTGGGGGTTGAGGCGCAGGGAGAGACTCCCAGCCTCCCAGGAGAGGTCCTTGGAGGGTCGCACAAGGAACCAATAGTGATGGGAAGGAAACTGGGACTCAAAACAATAGAGTGGACCAGAAGGAAGAAAGAAACAACCAAACAGAAAAGAATGGAGAAATAAGAATTCAAAAAAATGAGGAGAAACTTAGGAACCTCCAGGACATCTTTAAATGTTCCAACATCCGAATTATAGAGGTACCAGAAGGAGAAGAGTAAGAGCAACCAGTGGAAAACTTATTTGAACAAATAATAAAGGAGAACTTCTCCATTCTGGCAAAGGAAATAGACTTCCAGGAAGTCTAGGAAGCTCAGAGACTCCCAAAGAAGTTGGACCCAAGAAGGAACACACCAAGGCACATCATAATTACATTAGTCAAAGTAAAAATGGAGAGAATTCTAGAAACAGCAAGAGATAAAGGGACAGTAACCTACAAAGGAGTTCCCATCAGACTGTCAGCTGATTTCTCAAGAGACCTTACAGGCAAGAATGGGCTGGAAAGAAATATTCCAAGTCATGAAAGGCAAGGACCTACATCCCAGATTGCTCTATCCAGCAAAGCTTTCATTTAGAATGCAAGGGCAGATAAAGTGCTTCTCAGATAAGGTCAAGTTAAAAGAGTTCATCATTACCAAGCCCTTATTATACAAAATATTAAAGGCACTTGTCTAAAAAAAAGAAGATAAAACATGTATAGTAAAATGACAGCAAACTCACAATGATTAACAACCACACCTAAAACAAAACAAAACAAAAAACAACTAAGCAAACAACTAGAACAGGAACAGAACCACAGAAATGGAGATCACATGGAGGGTTAGCAACAGGGGAGTGGGAGGAGGAGAGAGGGTATGGAGAATAAGTAGCATAGACTGTAGGTAGAAAATAGGGGGAGGACAAGAATAGTATGGGAAATGTAGAATTTAGAGAACTTATGACACATGGACATGAACTGAAGGGGGGGAATGTGGGTGGGAGAGGGTGTGCAGGGTGGAGGGGAATGAAGGGCGGTAATGGGACAATGTAATAGCATAACCAATACAATATATTAAAAAAAAGAAATGTGAATAGCTGACAGATCATACATACCTAGTACACTTGTCTAAGTTGCCATATTTTGCATGAAAAGTTTGATTATTAATAGACTGGCTCCGAATCAGTTTGGATTTCTTGATTTCTTTGCCTAGGGTAACAAGCAGGAAAAAAACGTGACTGTTCACTTCATCGTTAGATGCCCGACCCCACGCCCTCTCCAAGCCCCAGCGTTTTCAGAGAAACACGGAGGGGGGTGTCCAGCTTCCTTTCCTTAGCTGGGGCTCCTGGAGCGCTCTCATGCCAGCTGCCCACGGAGAACCACCGAAACAAACTCTAACGAAGGAAGAGTGGTGCTCGGGCATAGTGGACCTCATCCGAGAGTGACTTTCCCCCGTAAAGAACTTTGATAAAAGGAAAGAAGGAAACCCAGGAAGTTGTCTCTTACTTGTCGATGGGGCGCTGGAAGAGGGCCCGGGAGCAGAAGTGGGGGTGCTCTTGGGCAGCGTTGTTGGTGTCTTGGCGTCTCTACCTAAAACAAACTCTGGGTGAAGCACCACTCTTTCCCGCGGGCTCCGATCCATCTACACACACACACACACACACACACAAGACGACCCAGGGAAAAGGAAACACTACCCCTCGTGAAGCCGCGCACTTTCCCAAATACTGTTACTTTGCATATTTACATATTTCAATCTTAATTATTCAGTGACAATTTCATAACTTTATTGCTGTTATCGCTTTCCTTTGAAGGAACTAAAGCTCCACAGGATTCTCATCATTTATTCATGTATTCTTAACAGCTATGCAACATTACACAGCCAGTTTTGAAAATGACTTTTAAAAGCAAAAGAAAGGCAACTTTTCATATAAAATTCATCACTCAGCATGGTCTTTCGGCACTGCCAGGATTAAACATCGATTGTGTGACTGAGCGGTGAAGACATAAGAAAACTACTTACGTTTCTTTTCGTAGGTTTTCTCACTCATGGGCCTTCCCTCACTTTGCTGCTTCTCCTTCTCTAGTTGTTCCTGTCAGTGAAACAGCATCTTAAGCATTCAAGGTGAGCGTAAACAAACTTAGAAAAATGTCCTAATGAGAAATTACCCCAAGCTTTAGAAATATAAATCTTGTTCACAAAAATTGCTGAAAAAAGTACTTTTATTTTCCAAATTAGTGCCTAAAGAAGTCCAGTTTCTTTCACATTTGTGTTCTTCTAACATCTACAGAATTGTGCCTTTGGGGATTTGTTAAGCTATTTTAAAAAAAGGAGTTTCGTATCATTGTGGTAATGGGCCTTTATTTTCTTGAAGGTATTTACCGATTTTCATTAGCACAAAAAATTTGTTACTATTGGCCATTTTCATTTCTGATTTGTGAATAGCAAAATAATGTCTTTCTTTAAAAGACTGTGAGAAAAGGCAATGATCTTTGGGACATTTTAAAAATGTTTATTGAGATATAATATACATAGAGAAAGTGCAAAAATTCTAAGCGTACAGCTCAGTGACTCTTCCCAAAAAGGAGCACGCTGACACAGCCACGCCGGCTCCCAGATCAGGGTACGGAGCACTGCCCAGCCCCGGTCAGTGCGGCCCAGTGGTTGGCGAGTGGTCTCGCAGATCCGAAGATCGGTCACGGGGTCGATTCTGGGCAGGGCACACATCCGGACTGCGGGTTCAATCCACAGTCAGTGCGCACACGGGAAGGCAACCAACTGATGTTTCTATCTCACGTCAGTGTTTCTCTTCCTTCCTCTCTCTCTCTGTCATTTCTCTTTGTCATGAAGCATGACAAAAAGATCAGGCAATATATTATTAAACTGATATAAATTCTAGTCACAAACTACTCCGTAGTGACAGAGACTAGGTCAGTGGCTTCTGGGCGCTGGAGGAGGAGATGTGAATCATCCAGGTGCAGAAGGAAACCTTCAAGGGAATGAGAATGTTGGGTGTTTTGACTGGTAAACGTTTGGTGGTGATGGTTTCACAGTTATGCCCATATGTCAAAATTCATCAAACTGCACACTTAAAATGTTCATTGAATGTCAATAATACTTCAATAAAAACAGGCTTTTTAAAACCTCTCAAGTGTAGTTTTCCCTGCAGTTCATAAAATAACAGCTTTCAAATAATCAGGATTCCAATTTAGTTGTTTAAGAAGAAAAAAAGTAGCGTGACACTGAAATGATTTATTAGGCTTAATAGCAAAGCACAGGTAATACTGGTCAGGAAAAAAAGTGTGTGTTTGCGCATGGGAAAACAACATACCATTTCCAAAAGAAGTAGTTCTTCTCTCTCTTTCTCTTGATCCAACAAATCTTTTTCATAAAACTTTTTCTGAAACTAAGTGTAAAGTTTAGAATGAAATTGTGAAACACCCGTGACGAGTCTGTGCCAACTTCAAACACCCCTCCCGCACAGGCAAAGAGCAGGCACTCACAGCGTCCATGGACATCTCCATCCGGTCCAGCTCCAGCACCGTCTGGAAGGAAAGCGTTCGAGGTTACTCAACAGCAGTGAGGTCAACCATTATCTTAGCAAACGGACTCCTTTCTGCTAAATTAGAAAACTTTTAAAGTTCTTCCCAATTCTACCTTTTATTAATCAGCTTCTATAGGTTAATGCCAGGTAATGCCAGGATCTATTCAAAATTTTAAAAGTTTTTTACTTTAAGAAGAGCAAGTCTAGAGAAATATTTTAAATTCTAAACATATGCAATTTAACTAATTTCTAATCACTCACTCCCAGTGCCGCTTTTCTGAATTTTCAGAAATACAGTAAAATTTTTAATTAAAAAAATCTGTTGCCCTGGCTGGTGTGACTCTGGTGTGGCTTTTGGGCCTGCGAACCAAAGGGTCATCGGTTCGATTCCCAGTCAGGGCACATGCCTGGGTTGCTGGCCAGGTCAGGTCCCCAGAAGGGGGTGCGCAAGAGGCAACCACACTTGGATGTTTCTCTCCCTCTCTTTCTCCTCCCTTCCCCTCTCTCTAAAAATAAATAAATAAAACCTTAAAAAATATTTCAGCTAAATACATATGAAGCAATCATTTGGCTTAAAATTCTTAATTCCTTTCTGTTCCACAGAAACTTCTGATCGTATGACACCCTAACCAATAGAAAGGGTCTTAATCTCAAAGCATTCTTTCAATTTAGTGCTTGTCTTTCAGAACACATTACCATGAGACAAATTATTTCACTCCAACAACAGTCCAAGTGCCCCACAGTCCTGTCTCTGACAGAGAACAGCACTTCTCTGCAGAAGTGACTCAAATGGCCAAAAGGAGGTACACCTATACAGGGTCTGGCACCAGTAACACCCCTGGTTTATTACAGGCTCTTTTACTGCAAAGTCATAAGCATGTAATTCTGTGACATAACGATATCACACACACACAGAATGACATTTTAGGTGAAATGTTCAAATTTAAACTATGAATTATTACACCCACGTTATTACCCTGCCAACCACACTCAAGCAGGTGCTACTTCTGCCGGACCCAGTGCATGCTCATCTGCCAAAGCTATCCATTGCAAACATAATATTTATTTAAAGCTTTATTTTTATGCTGAAACTTATAAAAATTTGAAAATTTATGCCATGAAATACCGCTTTTAAATAAAATTACTTCCCATGTTACAAAAATGACCAGAGTCAGCAAGTCCATTTTCATCCAGAAGCGTTGTGCGGCTTCTCTGGAAGGGGCCCACGCTGACACCCAGTGCGATAACATTGCACTACGGAGTCGTCATGGGAAAGACGGACTTCGTACTTAAAGTAAGAGCTGTACTCCGGAATAATCCATGGTAGGTTAGTAACCCATTAATTTAATTAATGATAGCATTTCTGTAGCTATTTATGGGGTTTGCTTATATTATCTCAAAGCAATTCAGAAAAGTAACTAACTCTCTCATGTGTGTTATTTTGACATGTTAACTTCATCAGCTAAACTTCTGTAATTAAATGCAAGGTCAGAAATATCTGGTAGAAACCACGGTGTGTGTATGTGTCTGTATATGTGTATACACATATGTGTGTTTTAAAAATGTAGACACATGTCCAGACTCTGGGTATTTCTGATTATTTTAGTTGATGAAGAATTCACATTTCAGTAAAATAAAATTATACTAATAAATACTAGGCTATCAATCACTTTATTTAAAAAGTTCCTCATGTAACATCTGGCAATGATTTCTAGGGGGGAAAAAGCAAAGAATTCTTTTTTCCCCTCATATCAATGCTGTTATTTAAGACATTAATAAATTAATTTCTCTCACTACAAATAAATTCTCAAAGACTATGTGTCCTGGAGTTCACATCCAGATTCATAAAAGCAACCACTTTAAATTGACTTAATCTTATAAAAACATTAGTTATACTCGCATATTGAGCAAAAAAAGTTCTTGAAGACTAAACTACTTTAAGGTTTGACTTCACAAATCTATATTGTTTTAGTTTTCCAACATTCCCAAATAATCCATATCATAAAACTACATACTAAAACGAAACAAAATAAAACAAAAACCATACGACAGTGATACACTACTGAAAAAAGAATGCATTTAAGGTAAGAGATCTATATTCTAGTCTTATTTCTGTCATTTACTAACAAGACCTTGAGCAGACACGTAGTATTTCTGGGTCTAGACTTTCTCTGATGTCAAACAGATGCTGCGTTCACTCGGGGGGCCCCTCCACGGCTAAGTTCCCGTCCAATGTGACTTTCCCAATTTTACCAACAGAGCGCTCCCAGATTATAAATTGCTTGTAAATAAAGTCTGATAGCAAAGTGTCCATTATTAGTTGAACAGTGTTGACTGAGCACCTAAAAGGTGCCAGGCTCTCTCTTGTGGAGTGTCTATTACTAGCAACAAAAGTTAATGTCTAAGTGTTTCCATATCCGATTGTAGAACACATCGACCAAATCAGTCACTAAGTCTTATTAATCTAGCAAGGATATAAATATTGTAACATAGTGCCATCCCATCAACCTAAAACAGCGAAGATATAATGAAGACTGTCTTGATGCGAGAAATGCCAATGCTGCGGCAAGTGTGACACTTACTCTTTTCACAATAGCCAGGACATCTTTATCTTTCTCTTGACACAGAAGTTTCCTCACACACATCTCTAACTGCTGAAGGAGATGCTTATCTGCCGGCATCTTCAGAGTGGACTTCACTTTGGGTAACAAGTGGCAAAGTTTCATTCTGTAACAAATGAAATACTATTCACTTCTGAGTAAATTGTGACTTAGATTTAATAACTGATAATAGCAACATAACACTGAAAGAATATTCAAACTGTGGAAAGCCTGAGCATTCATTTATTATGCAGCAAATGTTTATGGAATGCCTATGATGGTCCAGCATTTCTTGTTCTGGACGCTAAGATACAATGGTGAATAAGGGCAACAAGATCCTCTGCTGTCCTGGAGCTTACATGCTAGTGTGGGTGCAGGGAGAGAGAATGAGCTAAGTGAAATGACTGTTAGGTAGTGGTAGGCGCTGTAAAGGAGAATAACATGGAGAAAGAGGAGAGGCAATACTAGAGGAGGGGGCGTTCCAATTTTAAAACAGGCGGTGAGAGAGGGTTTCAGAGAAGATTTCACTGAAAAGATAACATTTAAGCAAAGACCTGAAAAAAATGAGGGACTAGGCCCCACGAATGTCAGATCATTACAGGCAGCAGCTGCAGTAAGAGCCTATGCCCTCTAGGGGCAGGTAGCCTAGGTGTGGTTCCAAACTGGAAAAATCAGCTACAGTGGCTAGAAGGGGGCAAAGGTAAAATTAGCAGATCTCTGAGCAGTAAGTAGTAGGAGACCGGCTTTTAAGTGCAATGAAGGCCATGGAGGATTTGAGTGGGGGTGGGGGGCGGGCAGTGAAATGATCGGACTTATGGTTCTGCAAGTATCATCTGGCTACTGTGTTGAGATTAGACTGCGGGCAGTCAGGACAGAGGAAAGGAAACAACGGGGGAGGCACTTCCGATAATTCAGGCAGGACTGATGGTTGTCTGAGCCAGAAGGCAGCAGCTGAGGTGGTGAGAAAGTGGCTGGACTCTTGAGTGTGAGAGATGGGGGTGGAATGCCAGGTAGGAATTAAGGTTTTGACCTGAGCAAAAGGAAGGATGCAATGGTTGCTCCCTGAGATGAAGACCTCAGGAGCAAGATGCAGGGGTATTTCTGGACAGATTTCAGAGGTGACTATTAGAAGTGCAAAGTGGGCGGTCAGCTCAATGAGCCTTCTGTTCAGGGTGGATGTCCCTGCAGGAGGCACCGAGTCGGGAACCTTCAGCAAACACAGGATTTGTAAGCCAGGGTGCAGCAGAGAGGAGGAGATAAAAGGACAGAGTCTAGGGCACAGCCACAGTCTAGAGCGAGCTGATAAGGAAGCAATGAGCAGCCTGAAGACTGCCGAGAGGCGTGAGGAAATGCAGGGAAGAGCAGCAAACCTTCCTAAGAGGAGGCGCTTCAGAGGAACGTTCTGCCTGGCTAAGCTCAGACAAACTCAGCTGCTTTGCTGGAGCTGGCCGTTTCAGAGAGGGACGCCAGGCTGCTGTTTCCACTCATTCACCTGAGTGCTCTCCAGATGTCGTTATTTTTATTTCTGCGCCAAACCCTGTGACAGCCAAGTCCCATGCCTACAGATTTCAGGATGCTTTGTCAGCTGAGCCTTCACTTAAAGATTCTTCTCGTACGACAAAATGTGCTTTTTATTCAACCAAAAGAGGACAGCTCCTCCTCTAGAATGTTCAGCTCTGCAAATAGCTGTCATGGCCTCAAACTCATGCAGAGCTCACCACGGGTACTGCAAGCCTGCTGATGCATTAACTAAGGCGTCCCAGTCCCGCAAAGAGAATTTTTTTCACTTTTCACAGCTCAGGAGAAGGCTTCTTTGAATACCAGTAATACTTTTTCCAGCCTTGATACTGTCTAGACTCCATGAATTTAAATTTTAAACACTCACTTAACAAAAGACAAAAACAACAATCTATGCACACTTCATTCTTTATCACCGAAGTCAGGTCTAGGAAACATACACTCAGCAGAAGCTATACAAACTATAGTAATGAAATTTATCTCTAGGAGACCCCTAGGCCCATGAAATTATAAAGATTTTGAGATTAGGAATGACACCTTTCTGGTAAATGAACTCTGTGTACAGTATCTCTGGTTTATTTCTCAGAAGCACAGGGAGGTTCTGTAACTTGTCCAAAGACACACAGCAAGTGCAAAGCTGGAAATCAGCTGAGGTAGTGGCTTCGGAAACTCTCCGCCTGACTTGCAGGATCCTTGCAAGGACCCTTGCCTGGGACAGCTCCTCTTCTATCTGCCCGTCTCTAAAGCACCAAGCAAAGGCTTTAGGACCCAAAAGCCAGCTAGTATATGGTGCTGCTCGACCCATTTTTGGGGTGCAGCAGCTGCCTAGGCAGGAAGTGGGAACCAAGACAAACTGCCATACAATGATCTCTCACCCAAAGGCATCACCCAAATCCACAGAGCAACATCCAATCAATCTTCATTCGGTTTCGCGCTAGCAGGCTGCTTTGTCTTAGAGCCAGCGTCACATTGTTAGTCACCCGGCCCAGAGTGGAGGAGGTTCCATTTCCTTTCAAATGGTTTTTGTCAACTGCTTGGCAACTGACAATTCACCACATTGAAAGCCACTTTTCTAGAATCACAACTTCAGTTTGCAAAATGGCAACAACATGCTCAGATCCATCACTTACTTAGCAAGAGCTAAGTTCTGAAGAATTATCAACAGGTTCTTTAAATGCACGTTAAACCTCAAGTCAAGGAAACCTCACCTCTCATTCACGCAGCACAGACAGGACGCACAAAATACCGAAGCCAGCGCGATCGTGCTTTCTGTGTCTTCTCACGCTAATGACAGAACACAGAGGCCAATCTCTGGGTCTGGTCACCTTAAGCAATGCTCACAAAGCTCACAGATTGAACTTTTCAGTGTTTTTTTGACAATTCTGGTATATTTTCTCTCAACAGCAACACTGTCGGTCTACACATATTGCCTTGGCTGTTCTCCCTGTTGATAAGTATTAGGATGCGCGACACGCTGACCACAACTCATGCCGGCCGGTTATAAAAGAGGCACACACGTCACACAGCATCAAGCCAGGGGTGGGGGGCATGCGAAAACTCAGCAGGGAGCTCCAGAGCTCTCTTCCGGGAAATCTTGGCCACCTGACTTTGCCTCTCTCCCTCCTACAGACCGGAGGTCCTCAAGTTCAGAACAGAGACATGAGCACAGAACACAGAAATCTAATGGCTAAGCGGTTAAAATCCTCCTCAACTCATTATGCAATGCACTAATAACTCTCACAGAACAGTATGTACGTACTAAATGCCACTGAACTGTTCTCTTAAATTAGCAGATTTTATGTTACACATTTTCACCACAATTAAGGAGAAGAAATAACATGCTTATTTGGGGAGGAAAAAAAGGCAAAATATATTTATCCCCCCCTCCCCCAATTTCCAAGCAAGGCATTTTCAGGCCTGCTCCATCTAATCGAACAGTTTCTTAGCCAACTGCAATGAACACCTACTGGACTTCAAAAATGTAAGACAGCTGAGCACTGGGAAAGGCCAGAAAAAGACTTCAAAGCAGCCATATTTCTATGAATAAACAGGGCACTAAAAGTGGACAGATTCTCTCCAATTCAATTCTGAACTACTTTTTCTTTGTCTTAGAGGATAAATAAATTACGCATATCTGCTCAATCATTTCGTGAAGCCTACGTGTGTGACCAAGCGGCCAGAGAAGGCTACGGCTCTGGCTCTGACTAACTGCTCTCTCACACACATAAATAAGACTCAAGACGGTGTTAAAAATTGTGCTTCCCAGTCCAACTGAAGCTCAGCCATTGAGACCACTAAGAGTTTCAAAGCAAATATAAATCCTTTACTTGATTTTGTAATTGACTAAGAAAAAGATTTTGCATATATTCATTATAGCGCATACATTAAAATGTCATTTTTTTTCCCAAATATTTTCTTGGATTGATAACCATACCTCACATTTGCTACTGGATCATGTATCAGTTCAATAGCAGGTAGAAAGAAATATTTACAGAAAAATGATTTGGAAAAGATCTCTATAATAAATTCACAGGTATCCAAAAATCGAAGTCTATTCCAGTAGCTTTTTCCTTGGCCCAGTTCTAGAAACAACAAACAAAAATTATCATAAGTTTAACTTTTCCTCCATGAAACTACGTGACAGAATCAGACATACAATCCATGTCTTTTCTTTATACCTGTAATTGTTTAGCAAATACAAGAGATAAGAGAAAAATTGTATTGTGTTACCCCAGGTTTGTAGACCCCCCAAATTAATGATACCTCAGAAAACAGAAAAAAAATTATTAAACATTGCATTCAATCCCATTAGCATTTAGTACAAATTGAATGACTATATTTACTACTTTTGATCACCAACTATGTGCTAAGTACTCATGCAATACAATGGGATAAGCACATAACTTTCCCTCCTAAAAGATAAAGGTACTGAAATTCAGCGACATTAAAGTCACAGAGCAGGTAAATGCAGAGCTAGAATTCAAATGCATATATGTACCGTATTTTGGCGTGTATAATGTGCACCCACATTGTGTGCATTATACACGGGATCATTATGCCCATGGTATGTAATCATTATACCCATGTATAATGCACATCCTTATTTTCCCTCAAAAATTTGGACAACAAAAGTGCACAATCATACACAACAAAATAAGGTAGTAGTATAACTTCAAAATCTTTTAGCAGTCAAATTAACTATTTTCTTTCTCTTGTTTCCTTTAAAAATGCCTTGAAGTGGAAGTCATATATTAACATGGGATTATTAAAATAATATAGATTGTATCAAGAAGATAATTTTCTCCCTCATTATATAAATGTTCCAAAGCAAAATTCTTCATATTTATAACCAAGTAAAATCTTCTTTCAAACCAAAATATTTTAAATGTAAGGTCAGCCCTGGCTGATGTGGCTCAGTGGACTGAGAGCCAGCCTGCGAACCAAAGGGTGGCCGGTTTGACTCCCAATCAGGGCACATGCTTGTGTTGTGGGGCAGGTTCCCAGTAGGGGGTGCACAGGAAGCAACCACACAACCATGTTTCTCCCCTGCTCTCTCTCCCTCCCTTCTCCTCTCTAAAAATAAATAAATAAAATCGAAGAAAAATAAATAAACGTAAGATCTTACCATTGAAAAATAAAAATTTAATTTAAAAAGACTAAAAAAGAAAGATTAAAGTACACTAAGTATAATTTTTCTTAAATAAAATTTTACATACTCTAATTTTTTTTTTGAAAAGCAGCAATCTATACTTAAACTGGTAAACTCCAATAACCAGAAACCCCATTACCCATCTATGCTGGGTAACAGTTTAATAAAAGCTTTAAGACATTGTGGCCAAAGCAAGTAGATATAGTTGTAGGCCACTATTTTTAGAATTAACACTTTCACTAAAAGTTTTTGTCTTGATTTTGATCCTTAGCAAATTAAAATAAATTTGCATTTGTTAATTGACCTAATTTTAAAAAAAGATTTTATTTATTAATTTTAGAGAGGGAAGGGAGGGAGATAGAGAGAGAGAAACATCGATGTGCGGTTGCTGGGGGTCATGGCCTGCAACCCAGGCATGTACCCTGACTGGGAATCGAACCTGCAACACTTTGGTTCTCAGTCCGTGCTCAATCCACTGAGCTATGCCAGCCAGGGCAAATTTGCATTTGTTAATTGGCCTAATTTTTTAAAAGACATTAAGACATAGCCCTGGCCAGGTGGCTCAGTTGGTTAGAGCGTCATCCCATACACCAAAATGTTGCAGGTTTGATTCCCGGTCAGGGTACATACCTAGGTTGAAGGTTTGATTCCCAGGAGGTAATCGATCAATGTTTGGTTCTCTCTTACACTGATCTCTCTCTCTCTCTGCAATCACAATATATCCTCTGTTGAGGATTTTAAAAAAAGACATTACAAACTACTTAGGTTCACCAGATTCACATTTATGTGTACTATCAACTCTATTCAAGAAAAAAATAAAACCTCACTGTTAATATTTAAGATAGAAACATAAATACATGCTTAGATTCATGGACATTCTGTTTACATTTTAGTTTCAAATTCTATTTCATTAGGGGAAAAACTAGGCTTTCAACAGATATATATATATATTTTTTAATTTCTCAAGTATAGAAATTCACCAAAAAAAAAAAGGCCCACAGTAATTATTACTTCCACCATCACAGATCTAATCCTATCATAAGGTTTCTAAAACAAACCAAAAACTTAACCCATAAAACTCAAATATGAACACTCTCTGGGTATTCACCAACATCAGCCTAATTATTCATAGCAAATGATATAACTAAGGCCAACCACTTTGTTTACTTCCTTGTTTCAAAGTAAGTGTTTACAGTTACTTACGTTCGATCAATTTCTGAATGACCTCATGTCTCTGTTCTTGTTTACGGTTATAGCGCAGAAAAATGCACAGAGTTCGTGAAGCTGCCTTTTGGACAGGTAAGACATTCTTGAAGAAATAAGAAAGGCAATTAAACTAGTCAGTTAGTATACAGTCTGAATAATTTGGCCCCACGAATCTAGGTTATTGAGTAAAAAGTAGGAGCAGTGTTATCTGCTTCTCAAATCACTGTGCTTCTGGCCCTCTGGAAGTGTCTTCATAATCTAATGTTAATATAATTCAGGCAAGTCAACTAATACATCACATTACAAAGTTATTTTAATTTGGCACAGTCATTTAAATCACCCAGACTTGATTCATATTTAACTGTCATTTCCTTGCCACTTCATCGTAAGTGACAATCTCCCAAAACACACCTTGGCCACCCATTCTCTTAGCCAGTCCCTGGACCTTGTCACCCACTTATCCAACGAGCTTTTGCTAGACCCTTCCCTGCATCAAGTACATCACCACACATGTTCCACTTCTAAAGTGTAAATTTAGAGATCCCATGGCTTGGTATCCTCCTCAATCCTCCTGGTTCACTTCTAGCTCTTCAGCCTCAATGTTATTCAATGAGGCTCCCGGTCCATGACACAGATAAAGCTTAGAATCAAAGGACACCACGTCAGTCTTACAGTGTTTGAAACACTGTTGTCCTTTGAATTTCTGTCATACCAGTGGGAACAGCTTTAACTCTAAATGAGTTCAACCATCCATTTCCACTGGGTTTGGATGCAAGGTATTTATTAGAGGAAAATTCTTAGCCAGACATACTGTTGTGTCCAGTGTAAGTTCATGTTCAGCATCTTGACTTACATATACATATTATAATATTCAATTCCTGAAGATTCAGATGTTACAATGGGGAACTTTGAAAACTCAAGCAGAATAAAACATTACATTGCTGAGAGAATACTGCCTGCTCCCTCGTCCCATTATTTTACACAAGCTGTTTGCATTGTCTGGGGTACTATTCTGTGTGGTGTTTTTAATGTACTGAATGTCAAAAGAAAATGTTCTCTACGAGTAAGCACAGGAAATTTAAGAAATACACGTAAACAGAAATACCACTGGAATTTAAAAAAACGAATTTTGGATAAAAGCATGGTGTTCTATTATTTCATTTTGTGTCTACAACAGAACTTCAAATATATTCTAGTCATATGAAAATGCATATGTTTTGTATCTTGCAGTATATAGGATGTTATAAAAAGTAAATTATCTTCGGGGCCAGAAATCAAAGATAAATGCCATCATCTCAAAAGCACACAGAAGTCAGCTTGAAGCTTTTGGGACAATCCGAGGGCACAAAAGATGGCCGCCACCAATGAAAACATCACTCCATATAAAACATGAGTCAAAAAGACGAAACCGAAAATAAAACCCATCTGTCATACAGAAAGTGACTTCACCAACTCCTAGCTCTGAAAATCAATAGGGGAAAATCAGGAAGAATTCATCCTGTGTTTTTAACATTTCAAACTAAATCCAATTTGGGTTTTTGAGATGGCTGCTAGATTTCATTCTCTCCTTTTTATTGAGAACAATGTGAATTTAAAGTACTTTTTAACAGTTTCTAAAATGTACACATTAGGTGGAAGTTGTGATACTTCAGAAAACGGCAGCAGGACACCAGGACACCATATTAAATGTACAGTGAACTGTGGGCTAAATAATCCTCTCCGGGAATTCTCATGAGCAAGGCAGACAACTTATTCTACGGGGGAGTTTGAGTACAGCTCTTCCCCCACCTGCCACTGCTTTTGACTCTAATTTTAAAGTTATCCCTCGTGGGGCACCATGTCTTTAGTATAAACGTCATCCGTCACAGAGCCACTCTTTATAAAAGTGACCAAACTAGTGTCAGGGGGACGACGGCAGGCCTTGGCGAAGCGGCACAGCAGAAGCAGGCCCTGGGGCCACAGCACGTAAATGGCGAGCGTCAGAGCAAAAGGCACACGTAGCAGTGGGGACCTTGAACTCTGGCGAGCCTCCCCCCACCAGAGAAGAGCTGCACCAGGTGCGAGGTGAGTCTGCCGACCCTCTCCCTGGACCCTCTCCCTGGCAGTGCACAAACTCGGGGTCAGCGCGGGCGCCACCAGTTCATTCCTCCCTCCCGCTGGGCAGAGGATGGTCAAGGGGAAACCCAGGGGAAAGCAAAGGGAAACGTGAGTTCCCTTCTAGGGACCTGGGAAGAAAACATCCTTCTGGGCAGAACGGAGTGAACTGAGTTTGTTGTAGTGTGGAAGGAAAAGAAACCTGCTCTCTGTAACACTTGCAATTAGGTAAGGTGCCGTCACCAAGGCAACGGCTGGTTATCTCAAGGCCACTGACCTTGCTCCTGCTTCTGAATGCTTGCTTTCAGCAGCTGGTTCCCCCTCCCTTTCTGCCTGTGTAACTGGTATATAAAAGGACTCCCAACCCAGCCTTTTCGGCTCAGAATTTGGGGATTTAACCCTCTGGGCCCCCCGGGTAATAAAGTTTGTGCTTCATCATCTTCCCCGCGTGTGAGTGACTTTTCCGCAACAGTAGGAGTTCAAGAACGTAAAAGATTTGGTGGTAACTCCAAACTGAGGTGTGAGTTCCAGAGAACAAGATCAAAGGGTTTGGGCTCACGTTTGTCATCATGATTGTGAACATTCTTTGTAGGAACCGGTAATAAATCTGATCACTTGACATGACGTGCGGCAGACAGGCGTATTTCTGGAGCAGCTTCTCGTGCGTTCTCCATTTTAAAGAGGCCGCAGCTCGCTGCTCAGCAGCCGTGAGGGCTGGAATCAAGTCGGGCAGAGAGGACAACTGGAAAAGAAAACGCACCGAGAGAACCAGGCAGAAACACGTCAGGCGCCGGGGTCAGTCAAATCATTCCGCTGACAACACACTGGGGAAGGAAAGGCTCTCGTTCGTGTCACAACGCGGGGGCATCTCAGTTGTTACAGAGAGATAAAAATGGGATTAAACCAAATGCTTCTTAAAAATCTCCAAGTAAAACTTATGAATTACTGGAAACCAAATTATGAAATACAGACTGGGACTCTCACAACCCTTCCAATTAAAGTAAAATCCATTCTATTTCACTGTCAGCAAACTTTGACCTTCTACATTCCTGCCGTTTTGTCCTCACCAGTTGTTATTCTTGGAATAATAATTAATGTGAATAAAAACTGAGAATAATAACGTAAACTCCAAGGACAGCGAGAGGAGTCACGGCAGGATAAGAACCGCAGAGGAAACTCAAGCTGTGCCAGCCCCAGCAGACATTCCCCGAGCGCCGACTAGGCGGCACGCTGGCTTTCAGAGTTTCCCCAGCACCCCCTCATCCTTCCTCACGGCAACTCGGTAGAGGACAGGCAATGTTTTACAACGTTCAGAAACTTTTTGATATTTGGGGTTTACCTTATTTTCTTGAATATTGCTTTCTCCACCGGCAGACATAAGTTCCAAGATTTCTGGAAGATGGTCTATAAGAGCATCTAGTACCTTTTAATAGAGATATTGATTACTCTTAGGACAATTACAATGTTTTTTTTAATGTTAGGTCAGTTAACTTCACATGTCAGCTCCTACACGGAAACAGTGTTATTTACCCAACAACACTTTGGAGGTTTCTGTTTTCTTACATCCTCTTGCTGGAGGGTCTTAGAAACATGATCGACTGCCCTGGTCAAAGCACCTACCCCTATCAAACTATCAAACTATCAAAAGAGATTAGTGTACCTGCCTCTTGATTTTATTCAAACAGTCTAGATCTGAGATAGCTACTCCTACACAGCCAACACGCTCAAACTCTTTTAAAACGCAGAGTGTGAGCCAGACAACACCGCAGTGACGTCCAGGTGCTGAGAGTTGCACTTGAGCAGGCTAGTAGTCATTTAGGTGACTGGAATACACTAACTATGGCACCAAAATTAAGTATTTCAAAGCCTTCACAAGTATACTCCCCAAACAATGTTAAGAAGAAAAAATGATGTAAAATGTGATATAACATACGATTACAATTATGTAAAATAAAAATCCTTATATAGAAAAATAGAAAATGAACAAAATATAACGAAACAGTAACAGTGATTGGAACTAAAGATACTTGCTCTTTTAAAAGTCTGTCTATTTTTTGGGATTTCCAAAATTCCTGAACAAATATACATATATATTTTAAAACTAAATGTATCTTTAAACCTAATCTGTTTAAAAGACCTTCCCAGCTTCAGCCTGTGATACAGTGGTACACTGACCTAAGGCTTCTGGGCTGGTCAGCGGAAAGAGTTCATGCAATTCCCCAGAAGGGGAGGGGGCGGGGGGGAAGGATTGGGGTATTCAGATTTAACATAAAAGAAGTAAAAACCAAAGAGTAAGAAGATATTACCTCCAGTGATTCATCTTGTAATAATGTTATTAATTCTTTATGAATTAAATATACGCCAGAATTCAGAAGTTTAGACACCTAAAATGTAGAAGTGTAGAAATGTAATAAAGTCTCTCAGATTTGAAGACTACTAGACATACAAAGGTTATAATAATAATTTTTAAAAATACACTCCTGTTAATTACCTCTTCTAAAATAAGACCAGGTTAAAGCACAAACATAAAATTAGATTCCTAGAAAAATTACTTGCATACATAACAAGCTTTTCAGTCTGCTTCACAGCACGCTGAATTGTGTATCGATATGAGGGACAGGAAATGAACACACAGCACTGAACGTGCAGAGAAAGGGACTCATCGGTCAGGACTTCGGCATCACGAGCAGTCACAGGCCTGCAGATGCCTGAGCTCACAGGGGGAAGGCTGACAGCAAGCAGCCACCGGGGTGGGACAGGGTATCTCAGGCTCTGAGTGTTCATCCCCGCTCAGAGCTTCTGAAGGAGGCAAGTTCTCCCGAAGGCCCACGGTGACAGGAATAGAGAGAACGCCTAAGCAAGCAAAACACGGAAGGCTTTTCCCATCCGAGACTACGGTCCGCCCCGGCTGGTGTGGCTCAGCAGACTGAGCACCGGCCCGAGAACCGGAAAGTTGCTGGCTGGGGCGTGTGAGAGGCAACTGATCAATGTGTCTCTTGCATATTGATGTTTCTCTCCTTCTTTCTCCCTCCCTTCTGCTCTCTCTAAAAAAAAAAAAAGTAAATAAATAAAATATTTAAAAAATAAAAATAGACTGCAATCAGCATGAAAGGAGAGAGAGTCTAGACTAATCCAGCTCCTTTGTGAACAGGTATTGTTTTCCCCTCCAGCCAAACACAATGGTAGATACACTGGTTTGCACTTACTTACTTACTTACTTATTTGTTTGTTTGTTTATTTTTACTATTGGGCCTCTAAATAAAGTTTAATTTCAAAAAAGCGGTTCCTGATTAAAAAAAAGGTTTTAGAACCTTTGTTCTATAGGGTTGCTCTTGGCTTGTCGAAAATATTTTCAAAATAAACACAAGAACAAAGTTAAAGCATACTAAAGTAAATCAATGGAACCTAGAAATAATACTGCTAGGAAAGTTTAAATCCACCAGTATAGATCAGAATATCACTATTAGCCCACTTACTCGGTATGATTGGGAGAGTACAGAAACTAGCTACCCAGCAAATAACCATATCAATAATTTCCAAACTCATTTCTATCAGTGGAATATTTTTGTGTACACATCTCCACATATTTATTTTTATGGTGTTAACATATTATGTCTACTTTAAAACACAAATAAAAATGAAATATTAAAGGAATGAGGTAAAAATAAATAATTAGACACTCTCATATTGCATAAATATTGCATTCTCAGACTCTAATTTCATGCAATCATCTCTGGAAACCACTAGAAAAATACAAGCATGCATGATAACCACACCTAAATACCCCCTCAGTGCATATGAGAGACAATATTTCACTCAGCTGGCCCGTGCCTTCTGCCCTCCTCCTCTAAAAGCATATTTCTGTATGTATATTTACAAAGATGATTTAACTGTGCAACAGTGAAATTACCTAGTTAATTATGCGATTTAAAGGGAATATTTCCTAGATTTTGCACAATGAACATTTATTTCATTCATATCAGGAAAAAAATGTTACTCAAAAGAAGTTAATCTAACGATGCTTTGACGCAGGAACACAGTGCAAGGAAGGGTGTGAAGTATTCACACCGAGGATAAGAAAACTTGTTTCACCTCTTACAAAGAAAGGAAATCATTCCTTGTGCCACTTATAAAGAGATTCCTATGCCACAGGTGTTAAGCTGACAAGTCACCGTGCACACACACGTGTTCCCCGCAGCCACAGCTCACACATACTCGCTGCACTCACTCAAGAAACACGCCCCACATTTCAAGCTCGGCAGTTAAAAAATTAGTTAGAGCCATCAGAAAAGCTTTAATTCACTTTTGTTTTCATATTATGGAGAGTTGTTATAATAGCTGAATGTGAAAGAGAGTTGTTATAATGGCTGTATTCGTGAAACATGATACATTTGCAGTAAAAACAATACATTTAAATAATTAATCTCAATTTCCCACGTGTTCTCAAGTTCTTAAGTTTAGGTACAAAGTTAAATGTAAATGCTATAAAGCATATAAAAACTGATTTTATTTCCAACTCTGCAACACCCACATTATACCACAATGTGAGCTTAAAGTAAGCACTTGGTATAAATACTCATATACTGAATGAATGGATTAATATATAATAAAAATATATTTATGTAAATGAACTCTATAAACATTCTAAGAAGAGAATTATGAAAATTTTAAAATGAGACTTAGGACTAGACTGTGGAAGAGATACCGAGCCTGTATTTTACAAGCATCTGCAAACGGAAGTGCACAAACACCAGATAATCACCGAGTGCACACGGACAGAATTAACAACAAATGTATCACTTCTTCGGTCTTACCTCATAAAAGCAAATGGCGATCGTGTATCTGACGGGTACTTCGGGGTCGTGACAAAGGCAGAAGAACGTGGAATAGAGTTCCATGTGGAAGTTTTTAGGATCGACAAAAACAATCATGGCCTGGCGGAGGTGGGAGGGAGAAGGTGAGTGGGAAGGAGGGAAAAACGTGCACCGATTCCTAATACTACAATCCTTTCACTTAAACTGAAATCGTGTCCTCTGAATCAGAATTTAGTTAGAAATCACATTAGGAAGATCCAAATAGATGCCTATGATTGTAATTTATACATAGAAGTCAACATAAATTTCACCAATATTTACTAGGTATCCACTGTATATTCCAGACATAATGCTAAACAAGTGTCAAATATGGCAATATTTTTAATGCTGTCCACATAATTTTAAGTAATAATCAAAATGTTTAATCAACACAAATATATATTTTATTACCGGAAAGTTGTAAGCACAGTTCTTCCGTACTGAAATATATTTCTTCTCCTGCTCTAGGATCTGGGGTGGAATCTGGTTTTCATTGTGTCCATTTTCTTGTTGCAAACCTAATGTACAAAGTTTCTTATAAAACTCCAAAAATCTCAAGTGTTGATCTGGAGTAAAAATCCCTACAAAAAAATTAAAACATTTGTTCAACATATTAATTGAAAACAAAAATTGAAAAGATAAAAGCAGACACAATAAAAACATATCTCGAACCAAATATTTAAATAAATGGTTAGAGTTCATAAAAAAACAGCAAAAAGGAGGAAAGAATAACTGCTATAAAGAAATCTAAAGGTTCTTCTGCTTCACCTGAGGTTAATTTTTAATAGTGTTTTTTTAAAGATTTTATTTATTTATTTTTAGAGAGAGGGGAGGGAGGGAGAAAGAGAGGGAGAGAAATATTGAGTGGTTGCCTCTTGCACGTCCCCTATTGGAGACCTGGCCCGCAACCCAGGCATGTGCCCTAACTGGGAATCGAACCAGCGACCCTTTGGTTCATAGACCCACGCTCAATCCACTGAGCTACACCATCCAGGGCCTAATTTTAATAGTGTTTTAATTTTAACAGTACACATCATGCGATGGCAGAATTACACCTGCACTAGTTTCTGCAGCACACGTCACACTGCAGACTTGACAAGTCAGTATAACAATAGTGTGGCCACTATTGCTATTTACTTATGGTAAGTATTCTAAAGTGCTGGCAGAAAAGACAGGCATACGTGTCTTAGGGGAGCTTAAAAATTGAATCTGAAAGATGGCAAAGTAAACTCAAAATATTTTTGGTCAACAGACTGGTTCCACATTCATCAACTATCTTAGGGAGCTGGGAACTCGTTATGAATTCCAATACATTTTCAGTCACCCATTAAAAGCCTACAATCCACATAAAATTATTTTACTATGCTAGATGGTTATAACTTAATTGATGCTTACATTATTATAGTAAGCTAAGAACTGAGTAATATATTCAAAATGCCAAGAGTTATGGGTGTTATTCTACATTCTAAGCTAAATCTCTTATGTTATATATTAATTATTCAACAAATGATTAATAAGGGTATTCTTACTATGTACCAATAGTTTAATATATCTGAGCCACTTTTATTATATACCAACTAACACATAAAATATTCAGAAATTTAAAGGGTTACCCTACTTTGCTCTGTCATTGTTCTTTCAAACAGCTTCCTATTAGTGAAAAAGTTATCCCTAAATGTTTTCCTAAATTATCCTACTAAAATTCTAAGATCTCTTAAGATTTTACGCACTTAAAGGATAGGTTTTATAACTGAATAGCTGAAGTTCGGTGACTAAGGTAGGAAAAAAGGGAATTATCCGTAATCTTGAAATTCTTAGGGTACATCATACCGTATAGTCCATGGCATAGCTTTCCTAAGTGGAAAGATAAGGAAATAAGAATGGATTCATCAGCTTTGAAAGATTTTTCACAAAATGATTTCACTAAGGGAAGTATAGTTTGACTTCTGTCATCTGGGAAAAAAAAACAAAAACAAAATAAAACACACTTTAGATCCACTGTCCACACTATGCACTTAAAATTAATACAGACCCACAAATACCAGAAAGAACCATTAAGATGTCAGCCACACAGTAACAGGAAACCTCTGAAAACAATGATGATGCAGGTGTACAGTGAAGAAGGGGTCAGAAGAGGGTTAAAATGATCAAAAACTTTAATACCAGGTTGAGGAGGCTGGGCTTTATATTGTGGGGCATAGGTAACACAGGGCACATAAAGTGATTACAAATTAAAAAGAACACACGCACCCCTATGTTCACGGCAGCGTTATTTACAATAGCCAAGGTATGGGAACAGCCCAAGTGCCCATCAGCAGATAAAAAAGCTGCAGTACATTTACACAAGGAAATTCTACACAGCTGTAAACAAGCAGGAACCCCCGACCCTTGCGACAGCACGGATGGACCTGGAGAATATTGTGCTGAGCGAATAAGCCAGCCAGAGAAAGACAAATGCCATATGATCTCACTCGTCTGTGGAATCTAAGGAACAAAATAAACAGACGGACAACATAAAGCCAGAGGCGCGGATGCAGGGGAAACGGACTGCCAGATCTCACTGGGTGGGGGGGGGGGGGTGAGCCGAGAAGAGAGTAGCCAGAGAACAGACACGCACGTGTGCACAGCCCACGGCCACAGACTACAACGTGGGGAAGGGAGCTGGGGCGGGGGCTTGGTGGAGGGGGCAGGGGGGAGAAATGAGGAACAAATGCAATAGTGTCAATTAGAAAATTTTCAAAAGAACAAAAAAAAAAGCTAAACGATTGAGGTTTTGAGTCTGAATAACTGAAAGAAATCTACCACCACTAATACCAACAGATGAGGAAGCGGCACAGAGAACTCGTCTTACTCTCCCTTGCATCCATCTCCTACCGTTCTGCAGCTTGTTAACTGAAATTAAGTTAGTTCACAATACGCTCCATACAGCGAATTTCTTTACTTTTACTTCTTAGATAACTCCTGTGATCACTTTTTAAGTGTGTCTGCGTAAGTCAGAAGTTTCTGATATGTTAGTAATATTTGTCTTGATTCTAAATATACTGAGTTTCCTATGGTTCTCTTAAACTTTCAGAAGTGAATCAGTGTTTTATTAAGGGTCTGACAATACTAAGTAAAGTGCTGTAGTAGTAGTATTAGTATTATTAGTATTATTATTAGGCTTATTAGTATTATTGTTATTATGGTTATTATGATCACATTTCAGAACTACATCTGTTTTAACTAAATGACATTCTTTCGAGAAACATTCATTGAATTTTTATAGAACCGTATACTAAGTAGAAAGATGAATCATAAATGATCACTGAACTTGAGAAACTCAGAGCAGAAAAGAAGCCAAAACAAAAAAATACCATAAAGCAATGTGACTGGCCGCCCTCTTTGTAAACTTCCTAGGCTTTGCAGTTCATGTGTCAAAACCACTCCACTCTGCCACTGAGCAGAAGAACAGCCATGACAGCACATCGAAAAGAGGGTACGGCTGTTCCATGAGACTTCACTTACAAAACCAGGTGGCGGCGGGACTCGGCCTGTAGGCCATCGTTTGCCGACACCGGTATAAAGGATTTGGAAAGATGTCAGAGAGGAAAACGTATTAGAACTGGACACTGAAAGAGAAGAAGTAGCTAGGAGAAAAACAGAGGGAAGGGAGAAAAAGCAAGAAGAGAAAGAGCATGTGGAGAGGCTGAAGGTGTGGAGAACTTGGGGTGTCGGGTGATGGCAAGTGGGCCGGAGCAGCGGGAACCACGGAGTGGGGAGGAATGGGAGGCAACGAAGCCACGAACACAGGCGAGGCCCGAGCTGCAGATAACCACGCGCAGGGCGGAGAGGGGGAAGAGATCAAGGACGACACCGAGTTTCTAGTCTGGACGCCTGGGGGCGCCCCATCATTAGGCCAGGGAGACCCACTTCTTCAGTCATTCACGGTGCATCACGGGCTGTTACGCCGCTGGCTCACCGCGCAGCCTAAATGATTATTCCATAACATTCACACATAATTACTGTCCACATCGCAATCATCTTTGAGAGGCTCTCATCGTTCAGATAAAATGTTGTTAACCCAAGTCAATGTAACCCTACAATTAATTACACAACAGTTTCCCACCTGAGTGCCTGACATTTAGCCCTCCAAATTTCATCCTGTCAATATGGCTCATCTTTACTGAAAAACTGAAGTCCAGCATTAGTCCAGAGCCTAGTCATACACTCAGGAGAGAAGCTAATTGCCCCCGTGATTTAATTTGCATGACAGAGTGAAGTACCTCCTTACCCATTCCCATTTAAATGCCCCCTCCCAAATATCTCCTGTGGGCCATGAGATTTCTAGCATTAAAACAGGAAAGAGCGGAAACTAATTTAAATATTGGTTTTTTAAATTTTTATTTTAATCATTGTTCAAGTACAGTTTTCTCCCAATTTAAATATTGCTTTAATCAAGATCTTTCTTAGGGTCAATTAGCCGAGCAAGTGAAAGACTAATGCATGCCCACGCTAAATTTCCAGGCCTACGTACACGTCAGTCAAACCGTGACGAGAAGAGAGGTGCAGGGCGAGGAGCAAGGGCGGGCGTTGTCAGGGCCGAAGGGGCAGCCGAGAGGAAGGACAATCAAGAGAGAGATGGGAAGGGAGGTGTGACAGCCGTCATGAAACCTAAGAAACTCTGTCCTGCCCCCACCTTCACCCTTCAGTAGCCACGCAGAAGCAAAGCCGTGCCCACGGGAAGGTTACCTGTATCGAACACGTCAAGCAGATTAACCAACGTCTCAAACGCCGCCAGACGCACACTGCAGCCTTCGTCCCTAGAGAGTTCTATCAGTTCGGGGAGCACCACGCTTCTTGTCAGGTCTGTCCTGCACAGCAAGCAACGGGGGGGAATGAAGCGAGTCAAAGGATCTGCAGCAAGAACTTAACTGAAACAAGGCACTGGGTTAGAAGTAAAATAAAAAAAAAATCATGAAGCTACAGCTCCTGCTTTACGGAGACTTGCAGTCTGGTTGGGAAAGCTTGACATGAACATAAGAAACGTTAATAGTAAATGCAAAACTATTTAAATCAACTTCAGTTCCCCTGACGCAATATTATTGCCTACAGAGACCTTAAAACTGGTTTACATTAAACTACGAATTATAATATAGTTTTCCACTTTTAAGCAACTTCAGCACGGCAGGTCCACGATTGCCTTTGCCGGGGCAGGCTGCAGAATTTAGATTTGACGGGGCCGATGGCTGGTTCTTGTCCCCGGTCCGTGCTTTTGTCTTCTGTCCGACTGGAAGGCTGCTGATGGAAGGGAGCCACTCAGGAGAGGCTTGAGTGAGAACACGGGAGGCAACTTCATCTCGTGAAGAGAAAGACGGAGATGACTGGGTCCCCGGCATTTCTCCAGGCCCAGTCTCCTTAGAGCAGGCCGACGGAAAAGAAACAAACAAATGAGAAAGAAGGTTTCTCGAAATGCTGGTGCTCTTCTGCTGTCTTGGCCCACCTCGAACGCAGGATCATCTTCATCAGCATTTCAGCCGGAGCAGACAGCTGACCCTCAGGTGACCGCAAATCCACAGCCAGCACCTGGGTGGACTTACATCACTCAGCCAGACCCCGGAGTTCCTGGCCGGCCGTCTGGGCAGGCTTGCGTGTTTCCTTCATCTCCTTATCCCTGACCGTGTATCTTACTCCCTTGTGACATCTTGGAGGGTTAGACTGTAACTACTAGCATCTAGACTGACAAAACCGGACTTCTACAGAGGTAATGGGATCAGGACATCCTCAGAGTTCTATGGCATACACTTAAATGAGAGATGATGGGTTTTTAGTAGAAAGGATTATAATCTAGAATTCTGCCCCAGCCATGGTGCAATTTACATGTGAAGGCAAGAGAAAGATACTCTCATAACACACTTCTTCCTGAAAAACGTCACTCAGCGACAACCCAGTGTGCTCAGAACTAAAGCAGGAGGGAAATGCTTGCATCCCATCTGTGTAGGTCTGCCCATGATGCCTCATTTCCCCTCGACTTTTACAATGTGACAAAGGGGCAAAGCCAATGACCATCTACTTTATAAAGAAGAAATACAAGTGGCTAATAACCATACATTCAACCTCATTAGTTGTCAGAGAAGTAGATTCACTTACTGAATATGCATGGGCAACGGCCTTACGGATGCACTGGATTACATATGTGCGCCTAACAATAAAAACGGTATCATCCTGTCTCCCCGGTGCTTCAAGTTCAGAAAAAGATACAGTCAGGTAGGCAGACAGTTATTGAATACTCTATTTGCAAAACCAATAGTGAAATGCTGCTTTTGCCAATGAAATTGGAAAAGTTAATGATAAATCCGCATTGCTGGTAAAGGTGCAGGGAACATTTTCGTGTCCTACTGGGAGATGCATAAACTTAGTCTTTTTGAGTTATACAAAATACATAAACTTTTTGCTTGCTTTTTACCTATATTATTCTAGTTTTACAGATAAGTCTAACAAATTAGTTGTCTATATAAGAATTTATGAAATAATAATAGGAGTAAACACTTAGCTAGTGTTTATGAGGTGTTAGACATTACTCAAAGCACTCTATGTAAGTAGATTCTTTCGAGTTTTGCTTTTATAAATTAATCCTTAAGCAATAATCCCAAATTAATTTCCATAACACTAATTTGAACACACAATGACCTGTCCAATTTTAACAGTAGCCAAATATCAGGTGACAAAAAACAGAATACAAAAAACTCCCAACGACAACAGTGTACTCTCGGAATAGGTTTTGACCCTGGTTAAAAGGCACCGATCTGCAGGAGACTGAACTAATAACTGTGGCTTGCAATGACCCAGAGTCCGCCTAGACTTACAAGACCTATCACAAAAGGCTGGTTCTCAGGTCAAAACCAGAGAATTGGTGATTCGTAAGTACAAGTGCACACACAGTTTATACTGGTGCCTTTTCCCTCCCTAGATTTAGGCATTTGGAATGATAAATAAGTTCGTAAGTTCTCACTTATGGTGAGAAGGAAAGGAATTAACATTGATTGAATGCCTATCACATTGCTAAGCGTTTTCACTTTTATTTCTTTCAATCCAGACTCATCAGGAGGTACTTGTTACAGTCATTCTTACAGATAATATCACGTGTAGCCTTTTCATAGCATGTTTCTATGGAATACGGGACTGAACATGCGTGTCTGACTGCAGAAATTAGAATATGACATAAGAAATGGAAAGTGTACTTACCCAATGCCCTGAGCTATATTTTCTAATTGCCGACACATACAAGATCGAACTTCATATTCTACATCTTGACAGAGTGATTTTACCAAGGGAAGTATTTCTCTTTTAATGCTTAGAAAGAAGGAAAGGAACATGCAAATAGATGAGTGTTTTAGAATAATTAATATTTTCAAACTATGATCAAAATCTTAGCCTAATAACAAATTTACTTTAATATAAAGCTTTATATTTTCCAGCATATTTTTACATAAGTGATTACATTTGGATATCATCAGCTACTTGTAAATTATGTGTGTGACTGAGTGTCTTTAAAAGAATGGTTAATTTTGGCCCTGGCTGGTGTGGCTCAGTGGATTGAGCAGTGGCCTGCAAACTGCAAGGTCACTGGTTCAATTCCCAGTCAGGACACATGCCTGAGTTATGGGCCTGGTTGATGTATCTCTCAGACAATGATATATCTCTCCCTCTCTTCCTCCCTCCCTCTCTAAAAATAAATAAAATCTTTTAAAATTTTTCTAAAAGAAAATAATGGTTAATTTGCATTGACAGTTAAACGTTTAGCTAAGATAAAAAGCTGTAGGCAAGTGGACTAATTCTAGCAACCATCAACCAAAATATCCTTCAATTTTACATTTATTCTTGTGTCATAATTGCACACCATTGCATCTCTCCATTTGGCATTTATCCCTTGGGCAGAGGATAGCATGCAAACTATAAATGTTCTCTATAAAACCTCAAAAATAAGATGCATTGTTCAAAATAACAGATTCATAACAATAATGGAAGAAAAGAGAAGATCTATCTTTATGTCATATTTTACCAAGTTTTGAAGTCTATAGAATAATGCCATTTTAACCTCAGCACCACACTGGGTATGGATAGGAGAGATTAAGATGGGAAATAGAAGAAAAGTTAACCTTATTGATTTTGAAAAGCCATGAGATCAAGAAGAAACACATCTGAACAAGTAGACTTCCAAGAATTCTATAAAGTTAAAACAGCTAAATTTGTAGGCAGTATAGAATAATACAAATCGAATGTAATTATTAGTCACACAGTTATTACCCACTTTAATCAATTTAATGTAGTGAAGTAGACAAAAAGGTAATGCAGATACTCACGTATGGGCATCAAATTTGTTGGTCAATTTTCCTAAAATTTTACAACTAACTAAGCGAGACTGGACTGTCTGGGAAAGTTGTGCCTTGGAAACAAGTGGATTCAAAATCTGAGGAGAAAGATCCAGAGAACAAATTCACAATGTTTCATATATTCTTAACACTACTATCAGCTATGTTCTTCAAAGAACATCTCACTGGTCTGAATGTTTTTAAAGAATCTGAATGACAACAGGAGGTGTGTGGCTGTCACAGCCTAGACCGCCTTGTCTGTCTTCTCGTTTATTGTCTATTCGGTAAGGATGATGATAAGTCATGTAATTGAAAGAGGATTATGCACAAAAAAGACTGAATTAAAGCTCATGGTGAACTCTGCCATGATCTGTGAGTACAGAAAGTATAACTGTGAAACACACATTTTGAAAAGGAAAAAAGCAAATTAATTGCCAGTTATCCTTAAGTTTATTTTTATTCCACACAGATTTTTGCATTTATCCTAATGAGATGCAAAACATTATAAATTTTAGCTTCAAATACATTCTAGTAAGAAATTCTGTCATTTGAATATAGTGACCTAAGCCTTATACTGTATCATGTATATGCTAAGCACTGAAAACCGCAGCAGCAGGATAGACTGTGGAGAACTATGAAGATCAAGTCCCGATTCTAGTCCCAGCTCTTTCATTGGTCCGAGCCAGCTTGCTGTTTCTCATCCCGAGGTTTCTCACTTACTTAAAATGGAAATCAGCATATGTCATACTAAGATCCCTCCAAGTTCTAAAGTTCTATGGCTCTAATAAAAACGTCCACTGGTTTTATTCCTCTCAACAAAGTAGCCAGAATTACTGAATGCATCATGTGAAATATAATTTGAAAGTGAGATATTTAAAATAAAATAAAATGCATACATAAAATCTTAAAAATCATGTGAAACGACAGAAGGCATTCTAGAGTAAAACCTGCATTCTACCACCTATCACTCTTCACGAAACCATAGATAACCCACGTCAACGCTACAGTCAACATTCAACGCGGGCCCTCGGCTGGACGTTGCGCATCAAGCACCCCAGCGTCCTTAGAGCTGGGTCGGCCTTCCCATTTCCAAGCAAGTACTTTGCCCTTGAGAAAGGACCCTAAACTGTATGAGGGCAAAGGACAAAGACACTTCACAAAATCCACAGGGGGCCTTTTACTGACAGACAACTGCTTTTTTCAACCATGACACATTTGAAAAGAAGGATATATAGGGTTAATGTTCACAAGACGAAAAATCTTTTCATTACAGAAAAAAAATTTTCTAATTTGCCTATTCTCTCATCTTAATTTACTAAAACTTTTTGAGAAGGGTGTATGGAACAATGCTGAAAAATGAAAACTGAGTAACAAATTGGCAACATAATAAAGGACTGGCAACCTTGATCGATAACGAGCACAGACAAGTAGTGATTCATGATACTGTTAGGTAATTCTGAAAGAATAAATGAAATCGATATAATCATAGTATATGAGAAAATATACAATAGCCTCATAATTTTTAAAATTCCAATTAAAATGTAATTCCATTTTTTGGCTAATCAGATTAAATTGAAACACTATTGCTGATAAAAGTCCAGGGAAAAGGGCATTTTCACATATTGCTAGTTAATATCCTTAAGGATATTAATGCCCACTGACCCAGTAATTCTACTTCTTTAGAAGCTGTAGTTAAGGAAATCATCTGAAAAACAGGAAAAGCTTTACAGAGATGTTCAGTACTGCCTTGTGTTGATAATAAAATTCTTAAAACAGGCTTAAATGTCCAACAAGTAAAATATTTTGTAGCTGCTACTCCATGAGTTTAAAATAACATGGGAAAATAATGCTATACACGATCACTATTATGGCCAAACAGCAAACACACATAGGCAGACAAATCTGCAATGGAAATATATCAGAATGTTAAAGTGACTAAGCACAAAATTATGACTTAAGTACTCATTTCTGTATTACTCAGATTTTCTATAATGAGCCTGTGTTGCTTTCAGAGTAGGAAATAACTTTACCATTTTTATTTAAAAAAAAAAACCCAAAATCTTAAAAGTGACTTATGACTATTTACCGAAAAAAAAAAAAGGGGATTACCTCATGCCTTAGGGTCTCTTTGGGCAAGACTTCAATCACAGACAGAAGCGTCTCCAGCCATGCGTTGCTGACACCTGCAACACGCCAAATTAAATGTCTCACAAGTTTAGTTTCAACTCAGCCATTAATAGTTGTAGTGTTTAATAATAAAATGGAATACTTATTTTACTAATAGTGTCAAGTTTCTCTGTTTTTCATCTTAGCCAACATCTAGAAAGCATTTATCTTTAAAAATAGTACTGGGAGGCGGGGGGGCGGGGTGGATCCTGGCCAATGTGGCTCAGTTGGTTGGACATCGCCCTCCAAAACAGCGACCATTCATTCCATTCCCAGTCAGGGCACATGCCTGGGCCCTGGGTTCGGTCCCAAGTGAGGGCACACAGGAAAGGCAACCAATCAATGTTTCTCTCTCTCTCTTTCTCCCTCCCTCCCTCCTCCTCTCTCAAAAATAAATAACTAAAATCTTTAAAAAATAATATTCGGGAGATACCTTTAATTGTGCATTTTTGCTCATATTATAATATCATAAACACAGACATTGTAAAATGTTTAAAAATCTAAGAAGTATAGAACGTAAGACAAACTAACAGATCTTCAGCTGTCAGGGACATGGCATCCTGTAAGGAAACAGCCAGGGCTATTTTCGGTCCCCCTGAAGATGAAGTCCTGGGCGACAGGGCCTGGTTCGGCGGGCCGCACCAGACTCACAGACGCACGGGGCACCGCGACCGCGCACGGGCAGCAGTGAGGAAGCACACAGAGAAGCGTGCCGGGCCCTGACCTGCATCCCTGTGCTCCAGGTGCAGAAGGATGACTTGGAGGAAGGAGTGGGCGTAGGTGTGAACTGACACCGACTCTTCCTGGAGGATGGTCAGAAACGACCCTGCAGCCGTCAGCTGCATGTCCACGCCTGCGACGTGCAGGGCGTCCTGTGCAAGCAGAGAGAGGCAGCCATTACACGGATGAGGGACCACAAAGGCCAAATTCTAAACACCCAAGGTCAGAGAAAACACAGTCACATCCCACAGATGACTGCATATGGCTTTTAAGAATATGTAGGATTGCTTTATTTAAGAAAACTATATTATTAATTAACCTGCTCCTGATCACTGAAGTCATTAGGCCACATAAAGTTTAAATGCCTTGGGAAGTTATAAATAAAATAACATTCTATTGCTTTATGAATGAAAATTACAAAAGTACATAAACCTTTAATTAATAGAATAGGCATTTTTATAAGATTTCAATTTACATTTTGCTATTTGTATTGTACGGTTTGCCATCATACCTAGAACAATAATGTCAAAGCTCAATCACATGCTTTCATTACTTGCAATTCTGTTGCAAAAAAATAAACATTATACATTTTACTATAAAAAGAAATACACTTAATATTGTACAAATGTATTTCCCCTTTAAACAACTGACAAGAACATAAATTACTATAAGTAAACTACTTTTAAAAGTAGAAATTATAAGATATAGGAATGTTTCTTAAAAGTAATTATATTCATCGCTATCTCCATTCAAAATTTAAAATTTCTTAAATGTATATTCAAAGTTGAAGCCTACGTGAGAATTTTAAGTTTCAACACACCTAAAAGTAAAAAGAAAAAAAAAAACCTTACACACAAACCTCATCAAAGATATTAGCTATTCTCCAGAAGAGAGAAAGAGTATGTGCCATGTCAAGGTAGCTAAGAGAAATACTGGACGTTGTCTAACCAATTATGGTAATGATAAAATTGAATGCCTACTTTATAACTAACATAATAAAGTCAGCAGAACAATGTGGAACTTGCAGCCACAAAACAAAGTTTCATACCTGGAATCTTAAGAAAATTAATCTTTCTGCACCTTTCCTAATTTATAAAATGCAAATTACGATGCTATCTTCTCAGAGATTTAAACCACTTCAGTGGAACCTTTGTGACTTACCACTTTGTGCGAACTGAGCAGTAAACAATGACCGCTGCACTGCACGTCCATCCCCCCACTCCCTCTCTGCCCGAGGCCGTCTCCCAGGACCTCATCTTGTCCACACCTGAGACGCTGCCCTCCCAAAACGTCCTCCTCCAGTTTTCAGTAAACAGCACACAACAACTCTGCCCTTCCAGCTGTCAGGCCAAACACTTTGTGGCGATCCTTAACACCTTAGTCCCTCCCACACCACAATCCAGTGGCCAGCCAATCCTGGCCCAGAATCTGACCATTTATCACCTCCTCCGCTCCACGCGGATCCAGGCCACCATCGTTTCCAGCCTGAATTACTCCGATCGCCTGCTGACTAGTCCCTGATCCCATCACTACACAGCGGCGGCCAGAGACATTCTCATAAGTCAGATCAGGTCACTTCCCTGCTCAGAACTCCCCAATGGCTCCACATCCCACCTACAGGCAAAGTCAAAGCCCATTCGAAGACTTACAAGATCTGTTCCTCAGGTCTCCCCTTTTCCCAGATTTCCACGTGGTTGGCTCCCTGGTCTCTTTCAAGCCTCTGTTCAAATAGCACCTCTTCAATGAGCCCGAATTTAACCTGAAAGCTACTCCCTTGCCCCGGCTCCCACAACCCCCTTTACAGGGGCATTATCCCCATCACCTAACACAGTCCTTTGCGCGTGGTCTGTCTCCCACATCTGGAACGCAAGCTTCCTGGCTGCGAGGATCTGTGTCTCTTTTGTTGACTCTCTTGACCCCTAGCCCTCGCACACAGGTGTTTGGTGTCAACAGCTGGATGACAGAACATCTCCTCCCCTGTCACCTCAACTATCTACTCTTGATGCTCTCTCCCTTCACACACATTATCGACACCTCCTAAAAGGTAACTTCAAGAGATTTTTGAATCTTCAAGAGATTTTTTGAGTCCTCAAGATTAGGGATTGGTAGAACTAGACACAAGGCAAAACAACAATGGGTCTCATAGAAATGCATCCTCAATCCTTACTATCATAGAAATGCATCCTCAATCCTTACTATCGTGTCAATGCGGAGGGGTTCCTGGCATCTCCCTCCCCAGCATCTCCGTAACCACGATGTAGACCATGGGCCCAGTCTCCGTGACTCAGCAGGACTGGACCACCGCCAGTCGCTGTGCTAGAAGACGTTCTGCAGAATGTCATTCCACGGCACGACAAGCAACTTCAGATCCTCAAGTATCGTGCTGAAGGCCAGCGAGTCAGTAACCGGCAGTTCGAAGACTTAACCCTTGTCTGCCTGATGCCAAGTCCAAGCACCGAGCTCTTCCTTACGGATTCTGCACGTCCGCCCGTCACTTACTAAGGCCCGGCTTCCACCAGCGCCAAGCCCTCCGGGGGGCGCACAGGACACCGGGCAGTGGCTGCTGTGGCGTGTGTTTATGTGGTCTGGCTCGTTCCCAGAAAACCTGTGTCACCTATGGGTGGCTCAGTTTCGTTTTGTTTTGTTTTAAACTTCTGTATCACATGCACAAACATTACTTTCCAAGTTTTTTCAACCAATAGTCAACTATGCATCTTGGGTAAAAGAAAGAGAAGAAATGATAAGGCGTAAAGCAGAAGCAGCAATTGGCCTCTGAAATCAGACCCTCCGATATCTTCTGGTTTTACTGCTTTCAGAACAGACATTGATCCACACTCATAATGCTGGATTTGGAAAACACTTTTAAGAGGCTTGATGTGGCCAGTCTACATTGCTTACAGGTTTCAGAAGGCACCGCTTTTATTTAGAAACAGAAAGTACTTTGAGAAGACGTATTAAAATAAAGGGTGCTACAATGTACACTCCGGGTCACGTGAGTCTGCTGTTTTAAGTTCCAAGAGAGGTAATTCTGCCTGCTCTCAGACAGTCACCACAGTCCTGGGCTGCACGTACGCAGCCTACACGCAAAAGAAGGCCAGGAGAAGCCCTCCAACTTCTCATCTTCTTTCTGTGCTACTTAGCCTTGACTCCCACAGAAACATCTGCCCCGACTATTTTGCATTTAATTTTCCAAAAATCCTCAAGTCTCATCAGGATTCGGGTTTTTCTCTTGTGCTGACTTCAACATCTGGGACTGTGCACTGTTAAGAAACCAGCACAGACTAAGAGATTTTATCACTGCTAAAAATCATCTGATTTCTAAACATATTTTTCTGAAACATGATACGGTAAGAGTCTGACACTTACCCATAAGCACTCCCCTCCACCCAGTCACACCTCCTGGACAAACACAGGGAGGTCCATACTCTCTGGGGAAACAAGTGTGCATCCTCATGGACCTGGGAAGACACTGAAAAGTAAACTCTTCTATTGCTTAAGTGCATGCCTTAATGCCAGTTCCCCTTCCTCTTAAATACTACTGGATGGCTGGCATTCCAACCTGAATCCTCCGAAAGGAAGTGAGATAGTTTATAACCTGAGTTCAAGGTACATGTCCAAATTTCAAAATCTATTCCAGTTCAAGGATGGAAACATACTAGACACTTCGGTGTTTAATTCACTCTTCAGTTAGCATGAATGGCGGGAGAAAGCATTTTGGAAAACGACGTAACTCAGTCCTTGCAGCGGGAAATTGCTCCATTGCTCTCCCTCCAATAAACCCGCTTACGTGCACCAAGAAGAGATTTCTCTTTACACTGCACAACGTGGAGAACCAGGAAATACGTCACTGGCTTATTTCAAAAGAGCAAATATTTAAGATTCACACATTTGGAAACTAAACTTACTGAACAAAACTGGTAAACACATTCACCGTAAGTGGTTCTGGTTAAAGGTAAGAAAAAGCCCTGAAATTACAAAGTATCCTTGTATACTTTTAGAAATAACATCACTGACTTTTTTTGAAGTTAGATAATGGAGATTTAAACATGAAAATAATGAAGATCTAGGACATACGAAACATCGGGTTCTGAGGGTCACAAATGTGGAAAGTGTTAGCAACAATAATATTGAACAGCTCTTTTACTATAAAATGGTAACATGTATGAAAGACCGTACAACTGGGTTAAACATGAATAATTGGAGCATGGCGACTCCAAGGCATTCTAACAATGAACTACCATATCTTAACCTTTTTCCTGTCACTGACTGCCACGTTCCCCACTGAGATAAAGGGCAGGGGAAAGGAGTCAACAGCCCTGAAACTCAAACTGTGAGAGGGAAAAGGAAGTGGAGACAGGAATCAAGGGGCGTGTTTTACTGTTCTGTAAACCTGCATTCCAGTGCTCTGCAAGGTTCATGAGGAGGTGCACATAAAAATACCCCACAGGCCTCTTCCCACTGAAGAAACACCAGCACCAGCAGGACTATCGTATCACCAGGTAAGCGTGCAATGCGGCATCCTGCCGCGCAAAATCGGGACCACACCGAACACATCAACACGCTCCAAGGCAGTGGTTTGGAAACTGAACTGCTAGCTAGACTTAGTCTGCCACGCCATTTTAACACACAGTGAGCTGGAGTCATGTGTTTCATGATTTCGACTTAAAATGTAAATAAGCAACTTGCGTTACGAAGATGTGCATGTCAAAGGAATATCTATTTATTGCATCCAACAGCAATGAGCAACCATTTCACATGATCCATTGTAGCTCTATTTCATTAAATTTTTTTAAGTATGAACTGTGCCGTAGGGGGTTGGGGGCAGTAACGGAAAGTGTGGCAGACTTCCATGAGCAAGAGGAAGCAGGGCTTCCTTCCCAGCCAGTCAGGGCAGCGTGCTGCTCCCTCCTATCCTGATCTCCCTCTGAAGCAGCCCAGGGAAAGTCTACGTCTGATAACATGATTCTAATTTCATCTACAGCTATTTATTAAGTGCCGGAATCCTACAAAGAGCTCCGGGGAACTGGAGGAAAGTCAAAGACAGGATTGCCTACCTTTGAGGGACTACCATTGCTTGTGTTTAAATATCCAACAAATATTTATTGAGTCGCATTCAGGGCACGGCGTAGGGGCTGCAGACGGAGCGACGAAC